ACTTTAGCACAATCACCGATCCTGCCACTCTTCTGCCGAATAGCCCACGAATCGAAGAGGAGACATGGTCAAAAATCAATGAAGTGCTATCGAGCATTGTATAACGCTTCCGTCGGTCAGAGTTTGCATGTCTATCGTGTTGTAAGGCACGCGTTGTGTCCATCTTGAGTCAGGCCCAAAATCATTGACACGGCACTCAGACCATTTGCTCGAGGACGTCAGGTGACCTTTACCGATTAGGTATAGTCCCGTCCGTTGCCTTGGCGAGCAAAATGGTCTGAGCTTGCTGAGGTAAACCATTTGCTCGAGGACATCACATGACTTTTTACCGATTAGGTAACTTATAACTAGTCCCGTCCGTTGCCTTGGCACGAGCATAATGGCCTGAGCGCTGCTGAGGTAAGCCGACGCAGGCGTGATCCAGGGAAAGATCACGGTTGAAGATCACGGTTGTACCGTGATCCACGAAATGTGCAATGTATATATACCCCCAGAAAACTTCCTCCAAGTAGCTCTACTTCTTAGACCTTAGCTATCAATACACTAAAGTCAACGCATCTACTGCTCTAGTTCCCAGGCGACGCACCTCGACTGTGACCGATGAGTACGCTCAGACAATCGCCCTATTCCACTGCCAACATAAACCTTACACGTTTATCCCTTGGGAATCCACTCTACGTCCTAGTCGAGTACAAACGTCACACCAAGCTGGGAGTGGTATAGGGTAAGCTCTTCTGCGCGTGGTGGTGCCACGTCATCCAGCAGCTCCTACCTCTTCAGGGGTGCTGTGCTCCGGAAGCCAACATCCGAGTTCAGAACTGTATTAGAGCTATCACCAACGATGGTGTCTTCGAAACTTCTGGAGCTCGATCCATACGGTGACATCGAGCTCGTTTTGTTGCGTCCCAACGCGCAAGTATTGGAATGGTCCGGCCGAAGGCCCATGACAAAGAAGGAGAGGCGGAGGGAGAGGACGAAAGAGAGGCAGAGAGCAGAGAATAGAGATCGCGACACACGCAATGCGAAGGACCCTACTAAAGACGCGCGATCACGACATCACCATACTTACCAGCAACAAAGCCGCCGCACTCGCAGTACACCACCCCCGACAACAATCAGGCCAGGAGTACATCCACAGCATATACGACTCAGTTGAGACACTGCAAGCTCGAAGAAATACTGTGACAATACAATGGATCCCATCAAGCAGCGAAAGCGAGCTGTTACAGAAGGCAAAAGAGGAAGCACGAAAGACGACGAAACTGAAGATGCCGTGCCGCAGAAGCAATTCCCTGCGATGCGATCAACCACGACGAACATTGCGCGATTGAAACAGCCCATCACTAACAGCTTGCCTGACAAGGTTGGAAAATACTCTAAGCGAATTGACATAGCGCTACCTGGGAAACACACCAAGAACCTGTACGACCAACTCGGACGAAGAGAGGCCAGTGTGCTCGTTCAGTTGAGGACGGGCATGGCGAGATTGAACGAATACCTGCACCGGATTCAAGTGGCACCTTCTGACATATGTGCATGCGGACGGGCCCGAGAAACGGTTGAACACTTCCTTTTCACCTGCTCAAAATGGACAGAGCAACGCAAGATACTACTAGAATGCACAACCACGCAAAGAGGCAATCTATCCTTCCACCTTGGAGGGAAAACACGATCAGACAAGCACAACTGGGAGCCAGATATCCGGGCAGTAAGAGCTACTGTCAAATTTGCAATTGCAACTGGCCGGCTGGACGCCAACTGAGGTCCAGCCCCACTACCAACACCACTACCAATACCACTACCAGCACCACCACTACCTATACCTTGCCAAGAGCAGGCGTCGCTTCAGTTGCCGTAGATAGGATGCTGAACACTTGAAGAATGGCCTTTAAGCAGGTCTGCTTAGTAAACTTCCTCATGCAAGGTCAGTAGAACCGGGATGGGACGTAATGAAGAGTCAGAACTGGATGTAATACTATAAGGGCTTGGGCGAGAAAGAGACGCAAGTTGGAGAAGGGACCATGTAATTAACTAATAGTTGCCCTTCTGGCTCAGGCCACCGGGCGTAATAGACTCTGTGTGTGTGTGTGTGTACAGTTTTGAGCATAACCAGATTCCTATTTGACTAAGCAAAAAAAAATAACTGCGGGCGCGGACCACGTGATATAGTATCAATATGATTTTAGTGGACTGTACGTATACGGAGAGACTTGGTAGGAGCAGAAATAAGCCAAAACTGGCCCTAAAAGGTAAGCAGGTCTGATCCATGTCCACTTTAGAAATGTATTGTAATCCCTATACAGTGCATACACACTGTGTATATCTACGTCATTCCATCACGTTCGGTCCACAGTGTAAGGCCGAAACTGGGTACAGAATTGACTCACATAATCAATCACCTCACTACCCTCTTACTATTAGGGGTCTCTCCAATCTGAGCACGCAAATGTCGCCACAACCATTTTAGGATCTGCATTAGGTTGCATGTAGGCCATATACCTATTTTTTCAATCACCCATTTTCACTTTAATTCGTAAATAACCTCATTAATAAGTTTTCGTCACTGATACTGCGTAAAATGCCAGTATACTAGTGGCAATATGATGCTCACGTGATTGTTTGGTATAGAAAGCCATGGAAGGCCGTGGAAGACCCGCACGGTATGGAAAGTTCAGGACACGTGTCCTTTGTCGTTGGTGCGTACCCGTGGGTCTGGCCACTTAGTCAGACCCTACGGGGAGAGCGAACCTGCGAGAAACAACCAGGCGTTGCCTTATGATGTGTCAACAACCATGAATCAGACTGTAAACGACTGGCCAAGTGACGATGCGAGCGATTCTCAGAACTGTGATCTTTCAACTTCCGATAGCGAGGCGTCTCAGCATGCAACCTCAGCCCCAAGAAGCCGGCTGAGACCTGCAGGGAGTGTCTTGGCGTTCATGCCATTTGCTGACTGGGAGCCAGAACGGTCATACGAAGGCGAACCAACGATACGCTACAATGTGGAATGGAAATTATCCGTAAAGAACAGGGAACAAGCAGGCGAATCAGAGCTAGACATTGTGATATCGCCACACAAGTTCTGGAAACACGTCCTCCGACCGAAGGTAACTGTTGCGAGTGCGAATAAGCCTTGGAAGGAGGTCGAGACGAAGCTTGTCCTGTCCGTAACCGACCGTAAAACAGCCAACATAAGGAAGCGATTCTCAAAATTAGTTGTTGACTGGCTATTTGTCGAGAAACAGCTTCAGGAATGGAGCAAGTTTCTGAATGACGGCAAGAGAATCACCATCACGGTTACGTTCTATTACCAGTGCGTGGACACAGGTAAGCCTGGCAGAGGGGGGGCAACAGCCAACCAGGAAGCAGAGTTAGAAGCCAGAACGGCTGGTTTAGGCCGAGGGGCATGTATTAGGAAGGCATATACTCTTATGCGCTGCCCTGGACCGCCGTGTACAAAAGGGGACCACTGCTGGCAGAACGGAGGGAATCACTACCAACTTCAACCCCATCATGTGAGGATGCTTGCCGATCATTTACAATCCGGGAAAGTCTTAAACGGACACGATGATGTCCCAGATAACTTTCGTCGATTGGTGCTGGATGACGAACGTGAGCGGCAAGAGAGGGAACAGAAGGAGCGAGAGAAGCAGAGGGAGAAGGAGCAACGTCGCAAGCGGAGGCGACGGGACTCAGATGGCTCGTCGGTCAGTATAACGGCCGTTCATTGCCATCGTTGTGCAACCGGAGACCTTGATACCCCGAAGATGGTTTTTCCAACGTCTCCTCTCTTGGAGTTTGATCTGTCAAGGGAAGACGCAGTCACGGCGTACAGTGTATGGCAGCGGTCACAAGTCAGCACCGAGGAACAGAAAGAGTCTTACGACAGTGCTCAGGAGTTGACTTTGGCGCATTGCTTTGACCTTGACATGCTTGCCAGCAACCAAGAAAGGATGTACCGATTTTACAAAAAGCATGGCATACCGGAAGGCGTTGTGTGGCGTTATGTTTGTGATGTTAGGTCGTGGGTGAAACAGCGCGAACGGGCAAAGAGCACATGATAGATCATTGCAGACATTCCTTTATTCTAGAGGTTCTTTAACATGAGATCTGGGCCTTTCTAAAATGTCCCCTTGCAATTTTCTTGTCCTGCCCTACAATTCTGATCTGCATTCGTACATACGACTTAAAGTCGCCCTGGATAAGATCTCCATCCTCCCGGGATCTCTTCCTGATGCGATTCTTGACTGAGCCGAACAAATACTCGATCGGGTTCAAGTCTGGCGAATACGGCGATTGGTAATCTACTATCACGCCTGCCTCAGCTAACATCTCTTTGGTACCCGGGGAGAAGAAGTGGAATGACGCGTTGTCCATGAATATAACGGATCTCGGCTCTGGATATCTGCCACAATATGGAAGTAGCCTTTCGAGGAAGCCCTCGACTACTTGGACATCTGTATTTTCTTCATAAACCTCGCAATAAATTACACCGTCCACGGTGTATGCTGGCAGAATTGAACTCTCCTTCCTCGATGGAATCGCTTGATCTGCACAGGTGTCACGCCTTTTGGAGCGTAACCCCGTCTCAGTATCGCGAGACCACGATCGCTTCCGCTTTCATCAATGAAAACCATTTGTTCAGGCTTATAGTAGGATCGTCTTTCTATGTAATCGTCTCGTAGATCTTGCTTACGCTCTTTTGCGATGTTTTGCGTGACCTTCTTAGTCCACCCGAATCGTTTTAGGGTTCTGCCGATTGTGAATCGTGACACATTCACACCATATTGTTTGTGGAGAAAATCAGCCTGGTCTTGTTGGCTCAAGCAAGGGTCCTGATCCAACTTGTTCTGCAATGCAAGCCACATGTTTTCTGTCACTTCCCGAGGTCGACCTGTAGTCTTACGAGGGGCGTCGATTGTGCCATATTGAAGTATGTTGGATCGGGCGTTACGAACGGTTCGCGGAGTGCAGTTGATGATCGTTTTGGCTATTTCCTCGTCTGTTATATCTTCCTGCCCCTGTAACTTACTTACAATGATGTTCTGAAGCTCGGTTCGTTGGATCTTGGATAACCTAGGTGCCATTTGTGGAGGATGCAAGGTCGAAGTTTGCCACGTTTCAGCGCCAGGATTGTATCGCGGCCTAGCTTACCAATGGTGGATGACGGTAGAATATTAATCCGGAAGTCATCAATGCCCACAGTGCTCAAGTTGGATAGCAAAAGCTGCTTCCACCAATCATATTTAAGTTTTATGCAACACGTGCACAAGCAGAGCTAGGAACCGTGACCCCGCACAGAAGGCCCATCTAGAGATTGAACTCCTCCACAGCATCGAGAAGAACTTCAGGCCGCTAAGAGCGACGGACTGATCCACACAGGGAATCACAAGCAAGCAAACGACTACTGTAGATCCTTCTTAGGGCAAGGCACTTCAGGCATGTCCCAGTGGCTTGTACTCACGACCGCCGTTCTTGGACTGGCTCAAGGTATTCCGTTCTCCTAATCTTTACTTTTTAAACCTCAACCATGCGAAAGATGAGACGGTACGGAGTTCATCCTGGTCGATAAGCGCGCATATCTTTGGCTGTCTCGCCCCCAAACGGCCTCGACCCCGTTCCGTGCCCTCCGATAATATAACGAGGCTTCATCCACCCAGCCAAGCTCCACGCAAAGAGTAGCAAAGTTCTCCAGTGTGTTTAAGGCAGGGATATAGGTCGCTACTAAAGTAGGTCCTAGAGCCTTTTCATAGCCATTCAGTGCTCGCTGGTACATCGCCTCGGCGTCCTGAAGCCGGCCTTGGGCTGTATAGAGAAGGCCCAGGTTATTGACTGTGTTGAGTGTCGATGTGTGATCTGGTCCCCATGCCTTCTCCTTGCCATCCAGTGCTCGCTGGTACATCGCCTCGGCGTCCTGAAGCCGGCCTTGGTCTGCATAGAGAAGGCCCAGGTTATTGACTGTGTCGAGTGTCGATGTGTGATCTGGTCCCCATGCCTTCTCCTTGCCATCCAGTGCTCGCTGGTACATCGCCTCGGCGTCCTGAAGCCGGCCTTGGTCTGCATAGAGAATGCCCAGGTTATTGACTGTGTCGAGTGTCGATGTGTGATCTGGTCCCCATGCCTTCTCCTTGCCATCCAGTGCTCGCTGGTACATCGTCTCGGCGTCCTGAAGCCGGCCTTGGTCTGCATAGAGAGCGCCCAGGTTATTGACTGTATCAAGTGTCGATGTGTGATCTGGTCCCCATGCCTTCTCCTTGCCATCCAGTGCTCGCTGGTACATGGCCTCGGCATCCTGAAGCCGGCCTTGGGCTTTATAGAGATTGCCCAGGTTATTTACTGTGTCGAGTGTCGATGTGTGATCTGGCCCCCATGCCTTCCCGTAGCCATCCAGTGCTCGCTGGTACATCGTCTCGGCATCCTGAAGCCGGCCTTGGGCTTTATAGAGAAGGCCCAGGTTATTGACTGTATCAAGTGTCGATGTGTGATCTGGTCCCCATGCCTTCTCCTTGCCATCCAGTGCTCGCTGGTACATCGCCTCGGCATCCTGAAGCCGGCCTTGGGCTTTATAGAGATTGCCCAGGTTATTTACTGTGTCGAGTGTCGATGTGTGATCTGGCCCCCATGCCTTCCCGTAGCCATCCAGTGCTCGCTGGTACATCGTCTCGGCATCCTGAAGCCGGCCTTGGGCTTTATAGAGAAGGCCCAGGTTATTGACTGTATCAAGTGTCGATGTGTGATCTGGTCCCCATGCCTTCTCCTTGCCATCCAGTGCTCGCTGGTACATGGCCTCGGCATCCTGAAGCCGGCCTTGGGCTTTATAGAGATTGCCCAGGTTATTTACTGTGTCGAGTGTCGATGTGTGATCTGGCCCCCATGCCTTCCCGTAGCCATCCAGTGCTCGCTGGTACATCGCCTCGGCGTCCTGAAGCCGGCCTTGGTCTGCATAGAGAAGGCCCAGGTTATTGACTGTGTCGAGTGTCGATGTGTGATCTGGTCCCCATGCCTTCTCCTTGCCATCCAGTGCTCGCTGGTACATCGCCTCGGCGTCCTGAAGCCGGCCTTGGTCTGCATAGAGATTGCCCAGTAAGCCCAAAGCCACCGCAGCTTCATACTCAAGTGCCGCTCCTCTCATCGTCTCGAGGCATCTGTCCGCATGCGCGAGAAGCCGCCGCTGCTTAACCCAATACTCTCTCTGATCTTGCCCCGGTATATGCGATGCCACGCAACGAATCGCTGTTTGAACCATATCTTCATCGAATTCCCGATTCAGCACATGTATCATCCACGAATGGACACATCCATGCACGCTGTACCCTCGTGACTCCGCCTGCTGGACTGTTGTAGGTGGATCAGCCTCAACAAGCCCGTGGCTACATAATATTCTCATGATTCCATGAAACTGGAGCTTATTGTTCGTCATCTCGGTAAGCCACCCTGGCCCATCCACTCCGCCCTCTTTCAAAAGCTCATACCATAAATCTTGATTGCTGAAATAAGCCCATTGTCGGAGAAGCATGGCTGCGATCGGGCTTTGTTGCTCGATGTGCTTGTATGAAATACCCCATGTCGAGTATAAGGTTTGGTCGTATGATGGCAGTTGCGGGGCTTCTTTATGCAATTGCAGCCACGATTGATCGTACAATTGGAGATATTCAGTACAGGTCATTGACACTTGTTCCAAGTACGCTCCAGCTGTCGCAAGAGCAAGGGGTAGTCCATCAAGTCGTAGTGCGAGGTCATGCGTGGCGGGGTCTACCGGATTTAGCTTAGTATTCTATTATAGTCGATTTTAAGAGCGACTCACCTCGTTTGATGCTATCACGATGAGAAGCAGACGCCAAGATCTCCAGACTATCACTGATATCTTTCAACTTGCCCAGTTGGATAGACTGTCCCAGTTTTACCGATAACCGCGAGGTCACGATAATAGCGCCATGATCTGTCTCAGGTAGGTATTGGCGAAGATCGAAAGCCTTTGGGTCGGCGTGATCCCGGTGATTTTTCGCTGCTTCGTCAGTGTGGTCCTCCTCAGACAAGTCCGGTTGTCTACTCCTTATGGCATTCGTGCTGGTCAACATTGGGCGGTCGTAATTGTCGTAAATGAGTAACCAGTGATCATTTGCCGGTTCATCTAACCACCGTTTAACCGCTCCCACAATTCTGTCGGCATCTCGGCTCTCCACCGCACCAGAGACGTACGTCATGGATGGGTCGTGGCGCATGATCCGCTCAGCAATGCGAGCAAAGCTTTGCTTCAATATCGTTTCGTCTCTCGCGTTCAACCATATCGCTGTTGAGTAGTCCGTACGGTGTCGCTTGAAGTATGCAATCGCAAGCTGCGTCTTGCCAATACCACCTAACCCATGTAGGATAGCAGTACGGCGTCCGATAGTCCCTTTAAGAATGTCTTGTATTCGGCTCAGCTCTTCTTCTCTTGCCACGAACCGGGTTACTTCGAAGATCTCGGACAAATTGATCGGGAGTTGGAAAGCGGCTAAATTAAATTGCGTGTTGCAGTCTCTACTACTATATCAATTAGCTATGAATACAATATGTCATCCTTCGTATCCTAGAGTAGAGCTTACCTCTGCGTCTCTTCCTCAGGCAGGTGAAAGAATAGCTGTCTTGCATAGGCGGCCGCCGCTGCTGCTGCATAGCCATGCCACTGGTCATTCTTATGGCTATCGCAGTAGTCTGAGATGCCACGGATGACCAAGCATGGGAAATCGGCAAGCGCTCCTGCTGCCTCCATCTCAAAGCATAGTAGCCCATGCTGCTCTGCTAAGCGATCCCTCAGTGCAGCACTCTTGACCACCAGCTCCCCGGACGCTATTGTACCTCGGTGTACAACAATAAAGGACTCGTCGCCCTCATCAATCTGTCTGTCGATTCGCTGCTCCGGAGCACATGCACATTCATCGCAGGATTGCCCTGGCTGCTGATGAATGTAGTTTGGGTGGTACAGGTGATCATTCGCAATGCCAGGAAACCTGAAACGTCGAATAGTTCGGCGGCTCTTTTGGGTTCTCTGCGCATCCTCCCAGATGGGATCATGGTCCAATCTTTCTCGTTGCACTGCCAGGGTTTGTGCAGCGTTGAGGAGGATTGGCGGTGGCGGTGCAATAGCACCGGTCCGTTCAAAGTGACCCTCCCTTGCCTTTCCATGGTCATATTGTACTGCCCCAGAGTGTATGCCCGTCGGTTTGCTCACCACCACATGGCCTAACCGAATCATCCCGCTGTCCGTCTGTACCGGTACACCACCTCCAATACCAACCAATAGGCCATATCTGAGGTTGGGGAATGTCATCCTCATCTGGGTAACGACCGTGGCTGCAGAGCAGTTACCAGTCTGGGGGAGACCCGCGACGACGATATTGTGGTTGTTGATGCTGCCGAGCTTATAGACGTTGTGGTCTGCCGGCTTTTGTGGTAGAGGTTCGTGCTCTTCGTCCAACATCTCCATCGCAGCGATCTGTTCTACCTCCAGCGGGCATATCCAGCCCACTCTGTATGCGTCGTGGTTGACGCGTCTTGGCGGCATCTCCGATCGGGTGAGCGCTGATATTGTCGGAGCTGCGACGGTCGCGTCTCTCGAGGCTTCGAGATAAGTGAGATTTCGTGATCATAGATACGTAAGCAACGTGCCATTCAAGATGGATTGGAGAACATGATCAGGTCACTCCAAGTGCGAGCAACAGATGTCTCGCAATCAGGCTCAGCATTGGGACGCGAGGAGGGTAACGCCTAAGCGCCCAGCCTTGTGAGGCTGAGGAGTGCACGTCGCTCGCCAACCAGACACCTCGATGTGCGGCACCAGACTACGCAGATGACCTGCCGAATAGACGATTCTGTGCCAACTGAAGGCGGCCGAGTAGTTGTGGTCTCGGGTAGGCCGCTGAGGCAAACGATGATACTTGTGACCAGAAACGCCAGTTTCGCCTGGCTTGATGGCTGAGGGCGATCAATAGGGGGACGGGTACCCGTCCTTCTAAAATCGGACGGGACCCGTCCCAATTACTGCATTAAGTATAGCGCATCCGCTGTCGGACTTCCCAACTCGTCTCGTTCAACTGCCTCAGTATGTAACCTGGCTCCAGATCCAGTCTCCTATATCTTTTGAGTAGTCATTAGAATACATTTAAATAATTTTTTTGGTCGGTGATCTTAATAAAAAACATTAAAGCTATAGTTGAACTACAATATCGCTTTCCTCTTGCTCCATGGCCGAGTACAAGGCTTCTTCGTCAATTTCATGTTGTGCCATGTCCCAAAGCTCACCCCTGCCTCTTCTGTTAGTGACTGATTGTCTATTTTCCGTCGCTTGAGCTACCTGAGCTTCAGTACGATCAGTCTCTGCTTTGTCCCTGTCTAAATAAGCTATAACCTCTTCTTTGGTCCACTAATTTGGGAAGTCCGACAGCGGAGGCGCTATACTTAATGCAGTAATTGGGACGGGTCCCGTCCGATTTTAGAAGGACGGGTACCCGTCCCCCTATTGATCGCCCTCAGCCATCAAGCCAGGCGAAACTGGCGTTTCTGGTCACAAGTATCATCGTTTGCCTCAGCGGCCTACCCGAGACCACAACTACTCGGCCGCCTTCAGTTGGCACAGAATCGTCTATTCGGCAGGTCATCTGCGTAGTCTGGTGCCGCACATCGAGGTGTCTGGTTGGCGAGCGACGTGCACTCCTCAGCCTCACAAGGCTGGGCGCTTAGGCGTTACCCTCCTCGCGTCCCAATGCTGAGCCTGATTGCGAGACATCCTTCGCTCGTATTCGGACTGTCCTGATCACGTTCTCTAATCCATCTTGAATGGCATGTTGCTTATGTACCTATAATCACGAAATCTCACCTATCTCGAAGCCCGCAGCTCCGATAACATTGACGCCACCCGACCGAAGATGCCGCAAAGAAGCCTGAACCACGACGCCTACCGAGTGGGTTGGATCTGTCCTTTGGAGGTAGAACAGATCGCCGCGATGGAGATGTTGGACGAAGAGCACGAAGCTCTATCACAAAAGCCCGCAGACCATAACGTCTATAAGCTCGGCAGCATCAACAATCACAATATCGTCGTCGCGGGCCTCCCCAAGACTGGTAACTGCTCTGCAGCCACGGTCGTTACCCAGATGAGGATGACATTCCCCAACCTCAGATATGGCCTATTGGTTGGTATCGGAGGTGGTGTACCGGTACAGACGGACAGCGGGATGATTCGGTTAGGCCATGTGGTGGTTAGCAAACCGACAGGCATACACCCTGGGGCGGTTCAATATGACCACGGAAAGGCAATAGCGGGTCGCTTTGAGCGGATCGGTGCCGTCGGACCGCCGCCGGCAGTTCTCCTCAGCGCCGCACAAGCCCTGGCAGTGCAGCGAGAAAGGTTGGACCATGATCCCGTCTGGGAGGATACGCAGAGAACACAAAGGAGCCGTCGAACTATTCGACGTTTCAAGTTTCCTGGTATCGCGAATGATTATCTTCACTGTCGAGACTACATTCATCAGCAGCCAGGGCAATCCTGCAACGAAGGCGGATGTGATCCGAAGCAGCGAATCCAGAGACTGACTGACGACGGTGACGAGTCCTTCGTTGTTGTGCACCGAGGCACGATAGCGTCCGGGGAGTTGCTGCTCAGGGATGCTGCGCTGAGGGATCTCTTAGCAGAGCAGCATGGGCTATTGTGCTTCGAGATGGAGGCAGCAGGAGCGCTCGCCGATTTCCCATGCATGGTCATCCGTGGCATCTCCGACTACTGCGATACCCACAAAAATGACCAGTGGCATGGCTATGCAGCAGCAGTGGCGGCCGCTTATGCAAGGCAGCTATTCTTTCACCTGCCTAAGGAAGAGGCGCAGAGGTAAGCTCGACTTCGAGATAGGAAGGATACATGTATTCATAGCTCATTGGTGGTAGAAACTGCAACACGCAATCTAATTCAGCCGCTTTCCGACTCCCGATCAATTTGTCCGAGATCTTCGAAGTAACTCGGTTCGTGGCAAGAGAAGAAGAGCTGGGCCGAATTCAAGACATTCTTAAGGGGGCAGTCGGACGCCGCACCGCCGTCCTACATGGGTTGGGTGGTATTGGCAAGACGCAGCTTGCGATTGCATACTTTAAGCGACATCGTGAGGACTACTCAACAGCGATATGGCTGAACGCGAGGGACGAAACGGCATTGAAGCAAAGCTTCGCTCGCATTGCTGAGCGGATCCTGCGCTACGACCCATCCATGACGTACGTCTCTGGTGCGGTGGAGAGCAGAGATGCTGACAGAATTGTGGAAGCGGTTAAACGGTGGCTGGATGAGCCATTGAATGATCGCTGGTTACTTATTTACGACAATTACGACCATCCAATGTTGAGTAGCACTAATGCTACAAGGAATGGACAGTCTGATCTGTCTGGGGAGAATTATACTGATGAAGAAGCGAAAGATCACCGGGACCACGCCGACCCAAAGGCTTTTAATCTTCGCCAATACTTACCCGAGACTAATCATGGTGCTGTCATTGTGACGTCGCGGTCGTCGATAAAACTGGGACAGTCTATTCAACTGGGTAAGTTCAGAGATGTCAGTGATAGTCTGGAGATCCTGGCGTCTGCTTCTGGTCGCGATAGCATCAAGCAAGGTGAGTCACTCTGAAAATCGACAATATTATATTACTAAACTGGATTCTGTAGATCCCGCCGCTGTCGACCTCGCACTACGGCTCGATGGGCTTCCCCTTGCACTTGCAACAGCTGGAGCATACTTGGAACAAGTATCAATGACCTGTACCGAATATCTCCAATTGTACCATGAATCGTGGTCGCTATTACATAAAGATGCCCCGCAACTGCCATCCTACGACCAAACCTTATACTCGACATGGGGTATTTCGTACAGGCACATCGAGCGGCAAAGTCCGATCGCAGCTATGCTTCTCCGACAATGGGCTTGTTTCAGCAATGAAGACTTATGGTATGAGCTTTTGAAAGATGGCGGACTGGACGGGCCAGGGTGGCTTGCCGAGATGACGAACGATAAGCTCGAGTTTCATAGAGTTATGAGAATATTATGCAGCCACGGACTTGTAGAGGCCGATCCGCCTTCAACAGCCCAGCAGGCAGAGTCACGAGGGTACAGCGTGCATGGATGCGTGCATTCATGGATGATACACGTGCTGAATCGGGAATTTGATGAAGATATGGTTCAGACAGCGATTCGTTGCGTGGCATCGCATATACCGGAGCAAGATCAGCGAGAGTTCTGGGTTACGCAGCGGCGGCTTCTCGCGCATGCGGACAGATGTCTCGAGACGATGAGAGGAGTGGCACTTGAGTATGAAGCTGAGGTGGCTTTAGGCTCACTGGGCAATCTCTATGCGGAGCAAGGCCGGCTTCAGGACGCGGAGGCCATGTATCGGCGAGCACTGGATGGCAAGGAGAAGGCATTAGGACCAGATCACACATCGACACTCGATACAGTCAATAACCTGGGCCTTCTCTATAACGACCAAGGCCGGCTTCAGGACGCCGAGGCCATGTACTGGCGGGCACTGGATAGCAAGGAGAAGGTATTAGGACTAGATCACACATCGACACTCGATACAGTTCATAACCTGGGCCTTCTCTATAACAGCCAAGGCCGACTTCAGGACGCCGAGGCCATGTACCAGCGAGCACTGGATGGCTACGAGAAGGCATTAGGACCAGATCACACATCGACACTCGATACAGTCAATAACCTGGGCCTTCTCTATAACGACCAAGGCCAGCTTCAGGATGCCGAGGCCATGTACTGGCGAGCACTGGATGGCTACGAGAAGGCTCTAGGGCCAGATCACACATCGACACTCAGTACAGTCAATAACCTGGGCCTTCTCTATAACGACCAAGGCCGGCTTCAGGACGCCGAGGCCATGTATCGGCGAGCACTGGATGGCAAGGAGAAGGCATTAGGACCAGATCACACATCGACACTCGGTACTGTCAATAACCTGGGCATTCTCTACAAAAGCCAAGGCCGGCTTCAGGACGCTGAGGCCATGTACCAGCGAGCACTGGATGGCTACGAGAAGGCTCTAGGGCCAGATCACACATCGACACTCAATACAGTCAATAACCTGGGCCTTCTCTACAAAAGCCATGGCCGGCTTCAGGACGCCGAGGCCATGTATCGGCGAGCACTGGATGGCTACGAGAAGGCTCTAGGGCCGACTTTAGTAGCGACCTATATCCCTGCCTTAAACGCACTGGAGAACTTTGTTATTCTTTACGTGGAGCTTGGTCGGGTGGATGAAGCTTCGTTGTATTATCGGAAGGCACAGAGTGGTTTCGAGGCCGTTTGGGGGCGAGAGAGCCAAAGATATGCGCGCTTATCTAGCAGGATGAACTCCGTAGCGTCTTACCATTCGCATAATTGAAACGGAGAGGTGGGGGTATTTAGGATATTTCTGGTAGGGGAGTGTGTAACAGAATGGCGGAAAGGCATCTTGGACGACGCGGGATCAATGTCATGCTGCTATAATAAAGGTCATGGTCCTCAGCGCAGAGTGGCGTCCGGGGATAAGTAGCGTTGAGCAATCGGAAGAGTCTAATGCACTGTTGTATTCAGCCGTGGGTTAAAAAGTAAAAAAGAGGGAAGAAGGAAGAGCAAAGAATGAGAATGGTTCGGGACGGTTGAAACTGCCCTATTGGAGTGACTGAGCAGGCCGGAAGTGGCATATAGCCAAAACCATCCAAAATTGTTAGGGCCTTCGTTTGGACAGTACTTCGCATCGGATTGCGTTTCGCACTGTATGAGCCACATGCCCCACAAGATGGTCCGTGCGGAAATATGTTTTTAGCACATCAAAGGGGACATTTATTTCGGCCCCTACTGTATTGTACATAGCGTGGGAAGACTGACTTCCTACATTCGTATCTACCCGGGCGTCTCCTGAATGTGCTGCGCTGGGTCCTTCAAGAGCGACCAGCACACCCGGGATTCTCCACCCCATCATACACGAAGGGTGACTCACATGGTACACTGTTCTTAGACGCTTACCCCAGGGGTGGATTAGCATTGCGCAACGGTTCTGACAGCCATTTTCGGATACGCACGTACATGACGCGACAAAATCCCTTCACATGCGCTACAGACACAGCGGATTCAGTAAGCCACAAGTGGAAATTCTCGGGCCGAAAATGGCTATCCCTCTTTCCCTCAGTTTTCTCTTTTGGCATTTTGTTGCCTCATTGACTGGCTCCAGACTCACCTGTCTCATGGCGTTTCAGGGTTAGATCTGGCTATCCTCTTCCTAGCAAACGTCTCTCTGTGGCGCTAGGTTGCCTACCCTTTAGGAACTACGATATGACTAAAGTTGCTTCGACACCAAGGAGCACAGCATAATACCCGAGTGACTGCAATGACTTACTGTATAGTCTACAGTAGCTTTCATCTCAACAGAGCCTGGAACGACACTATCCATGAAAATGCTCCAGCATCTGCCAACAGAGGTGGTAGCGTCGGTAGTCTTGCAAGTAATTTACCCCCGCTATTGTTGGCTTTTCTCGGAGCCCATGCTAATGGAAATAGCTAAGCGACAAGCGGGATCTAAAGAGCTTATGCGAAGTCTCGAAATACTTCTACGATTTGACAGCGCCATTTTTATACGGCGTGCATGAAGTGGTGGTCCAAACCTCGGGGCAAGGTGTGAATCAGGCGCAGGCTGACCCGGTCCTCATGGTATGCGAGCGACCGCTGAAGCTCTTGGAGCGTGTGACGAAGTTGCGCGTGGTTGCTGCCGTTTCTAGGAAAAGACGTACCTATAACAGGCACGAAGAGTCAGACGAGCAAAACGAAGCTGCGCTCGAGAGGCTCGATGATGAGATAGCTTCTATTGCGCGGCACTTCAAGGACGAAAAACTTCGTCATTTCACGTAAGTTATCAATATTCAGATGCTGCGAATTGCTCACGCCGGTTGTAGGTGGGATGCAGGGAGTCATGTCCCGGCTCTTCTCCTCGGACAAGACGGTTATCTGCCCAACCACCAAAAACGCATCGAATATCTTGGACTTGTGACGACTAGTAACGAGCATCCGCCCCCAAGGCGCGCATTCCTAGCTTTGAACGAGTTTAAATTTTTGAAAGCCATTTCTTGGATCGGATTCGGCTCGGCAAATGACTTCAAGGTGCTTGACTCGGCGCTGAGGTTAAATGCCCACCAACTCAACAGCTTGGAACTCGACTTAAATTGGATCGCTCATAGCGGCTGGGGTGCAGATGCGGATTCAGCTTGGTTCAAGTCTGCATGGCGGACTTTAACCCTTGCTAGTGAGGCCAACTTTCCGCGGCTGGCACACCTGTCCTTGTCGCGACTTGACCTGACGCACTGGGATCTATACCAACCCAAGGGACGCAATCGGTACGGCCTCGATGGAAGGTGGCCGCGTACACTCGATCAATTACCTCTCGAGTCGTTGGTGCTCAGACAATGCCAGGGCTTGACATCATTTTTGGCCGCGTTGGTATTATCGTCTTGTCTATCTGGCCTTCGCTCGCTGGAAATTGTTGAACCACCAGCCTGGGGGCATTATGATTACGAGGATTGTGACTTGGTCGAGTACTGTCTCGAAGAACTGCATGGGCTTGAAAATCTCTATCTCTCCATCCCGGATTCTTCGTCTGTCAGTTGGATATGGGAAACTGCATCACGTATGTCCGGCCTTCGACGCTTCATCTTTCATGCAAGAGGCGTACACGACGATGAGGTCAGGGACACGAGTGACATGGCATTTCCACAAGACCTGAGCCGATATGATTTTGAGTGCTACTGCTACCCAGACACCGATGCTCCATTATTCGATGAAGAGTGCCCGAATTACATTGGTAGACTGGAGCTCGAATGCATAGGCGTATCGTGCCACACCCGACATCTGGTAAAGTCTTGTCCTTTGGCGTTCCAAAAATTCCGAAAGCATCTAACTCGAGTGTAGAAAATCGTCGTAGAGCCGTTTTGTCAAAAGAACTGCCTGAAGATATTACACGTTCGACAGTCAGGGCGGGATATTGAGGAGTTCGGCTCTTGGGTCCTCGAGAAAATGCAGTCGACAGAGGAAGATGCGGGCCCAATCGCTCCAAACGCACTCGGCTGCGTCTCTCAGTCACCGGTCACAAACGGTCGCGGTAGCGGCTCGACATGCTTGAGCGATGACTTCCATGGTTTTGCAGACTGGGCGTTTGGCGCTAGTGGGATTCCTTCTCTCCGCATTCTAGCGTACGGAGACTTCTCATGTTCTGGACGGTTCGAAGCTCACTCCTTTTTCTTGTGTCGGGCACGTCTGGAGGATAGCGAAGTTCGCTATCGTTTTTACGATCCGAAATTAGAGCGGGATCCAGAGCTCGAGGATCTTCTGAGCCAACACGACGGGTTTCTCCAGGCGTGTCCAACAAGCCACCCCTAGGGCTTGTGATGATGACCAAGTCAAAGAGAGCTCTGCCGGGCCATTAGCGAACCTCTGGATTGAGACGGTTAAAAAGTGATGTGCAGAGAACAAGTGGCAGGAGCAGTCTGACGCTATGGATTTCGGGCAAGCGGCGACTCTGGCCACCTCGACGACCCTCCTCACGGTAACTGCACCATAATCTTCTGATGCGCAGAGGCTAACTTGGGCAGCATCCGTGTGGCAGCATCCTTGGAGGACAGGTAATGTGAAGGACTTGGTCGCACTTGCGCTCTGTGAAGGAACGTGAATGTGGATGTCAGGCGGGCCTGTGGAATCGGAAGGGAAGCGTGACGGCTCTCCTTGAACGCCTTGGAGGGTCTCGACACGAATTAATAGGGAGGAGACAGGGGAGGGTCGAGATCGGAGCATCTGCATCCAAACACGAGCCGAGCTGCTGCCTGAGATCTTACAGCTCTTACCTCACAAGGTAGTATCGCGAATCAATTACGTTTCTAGCTAGAGAGCCTTGGTAATAGAGTTCATGGTGCACGGTTGAGCAACAAGATGACCATGCTTCGGTGTCCTCGCTGTATGGTGAGTGCGGTTGCGATGCAAGTTGACAGGGACGCTGTCGGTCAGTGGCGTGGTAGCTAGTACTAAGATATGCGCATGTGGATAAACATATCGCCATGCGTGTGTCTGTCTAGTGCACAATGGCCGTTGCAAAGCCATGAGAATCCAGTACGTAGTAAAGTTTGGCTGCGTAAAGAACCCCTTTGACATCCAATCCACCGCAGAGTCTGAACGCTGTGCTCGGGAATACAATTCGACAGAATGTCCATTGCGACAATTTGTCGGCATAAGGGAGACAGGTAAAGGGCCAAGAGCCTGTGTCATGACGACTGGATGATATCTACAAGTAGATTGAAGCCCATAGTTTGTTTGCGAAATCTACATGTGCTGCCCGAACTGGCAACGCCAATTGGTGCACTTCGATCCGCGCGGCAAAAAATTCTGATTCGGGACCCTGGCTGCTTTGGGAGATTCACTTGCAGATCACCGGGACCTCAAGCGGAGGTCATCACAAAAAAGGTGGCGCAGGCGGGTGGCTGTTGAAGACGTTCTCACGTACGTCATGCTTAGTCACTCACAATGAACATCGGGATACTGTGCGTAGTCAAAACAAAACACTGTGACTTTGCCAAATGGGGTGGCTTCAATTTTGGCCGCCGCTGGGGGCGTGCGGGTGTGTGCGCAGAAAATACTTTTGGTATACGCATGGACTACGTCCACAAACGTCGTCCATCACGTTTTCCGGGACCGTTGTGGACCATACCGATGTACTGACAAAGTTGCGATGGAGCTCACCAGAAATGGACACTGTTGGGGGTGTGCGGGTGTGTCTAAAAAGTACTTTTGGTATACGCATGGACCACGTCCACAAACGCTGTCCACCACGTTTTCCGGGACCATTGTGGACAATGCCTCACCAGAAATGGACACCAAACTTCGACATCACATAGACCACCAAAGAGCAAAGGTGAAAGGAGACATTTGTGCCGTTGTTCTTGCATGAGATTCCAATAATGACTTTCGTGAAATGGCTGTTTGAGGCCACTGCCAATGGCCGCATCTGCTGCATGAAATAGACCCGATTCGTGGCAGTTTAGGTGAGTGATTCCTCACCCGACGGACAGAGTCTGGGAGAATAGGTGTTGATGCCCTTTGCCGCACGGTGGTTAGAAGTCGTGGGAGGGGACCTGCCGCGGCGTAGCACTGTGGCGCATCTTTCCCGTTGCGTACGATCTGTGGCGCTCGATGACGTTATTGCCGAAGCTCTGCGGCTAAACGAGTGCAGGACGCTAATGCCGGCAACTGGACCATGCTGGGTAATCGGGTGGGAAGAGTGAAGCACTCGTTAAGACGGTCGCAATCAATCATTTTTCAGTTTGTTCTCTTTTACACGGCTAGACAACATCCAATTTTATGACGAGCCGCCTTGTGCACCAGCGGATGTTTTCGCTATCCCAATGTGTCGGCTGTTCCCAGCCAGCGCTCCTAATAGCCCAGACCATTTGGACTATTAGTCCAGACTGCAGATCAGGGAAGGGAGTACGGACGCCCAGTGTGGTCGCTAAGTACGCTAGGTTGTTGGCATGACGTCACAAAACCAGGGTACCCATGATTGTTGCTGTGCCAACCATTTTGTTTTGGATAATTCTGAACGATTTACTGGTGCTATCCAGATCAACACGGCTCGTTTCAAGGGACGCGCCATCCTAGTCGTCAATCCACGAACGCCCGTCGTGGATTGATTATTGATCTTGGATTGCAGTCTGGACTAATAGTCTAAACGGTCTCAGCTCGGATGGCCCAACCTCTAGTGAGTTAGTGAGTAGACGACCCCTGCCTCCCCCCAATTGCGCAGACAAACCCAACAGTACACACACACACACACACAATTTATTACGCCCGGTGGCTTACAACCAATAGGGCACTAGTTGCTATTGTACATATCCGTTTCCCAAGCTTTGTCATAATCTCGTAAAAGCCCATGCAGCGTCCAATTTCTGCTAATGCATCTTCGTTTTCAATCTTTCCGCGGGTCTCGTGGGGTTTGTATTATTAGCAAGCGAACTTGAAGGCTATTCTCCAAGTGTTCAGAGTCCTATCTACGGCGGCTGAAGCGGTGCCTGCTGTCCATGGCACGAGGTGTTTGATGTAAGGTGGGTTAGTAAGAAAGGGTAGGTAAGGTTTTGCAATCTGTCTTCAACGTTGCGTGTTGTCGAGTCGCCCTGTGGCTATCGCAAATCGTACAGTCGCGCGGACTGCGTCCATATTTGGCGTCCATTTTGTGTCGTCTGATGGTGATTTTCCTCCGAGGAAGAACGAGAGATTTCCTCTTTGTGTCTCGGTGCATTGCAACATTTCAGCTCGCTGTGCTGCCCATTTCCTGCATCGGAAGAGAAAATGTTCAACCGTCTCTGTCGCTTGTCCACATGCGCATTGCGCTGATGCTGCTGCTGTGATCCGAAAGAGGTACCCATTCAATCTGGCCATACCTGTCCTGAGCTGCACCAGCACGCTGGCTTCTCTCCATGATAAGCTATCGTATAGTTGTCGCGTGTGCTTACCTGGTAGTGCAGCATCGACTCTCTTCGAAAATTTGCCGATATTGTCTGGTAGATGTTTGCTAGTACCCTGGCTTAATCGAGCCATGTTGAGGGTCGTTGATCGCATTCTGGGAAACTTCAGAGCCGGGATGGCACCGTCTCGGGTTGCATTCCGCGCCTCTTCTTTAGCAGTCTTCAAGAGCTTGTGTTCAACACTGGTGGGCACCTATATGACAGCCACTGAATTTCCATTGACCTTCAACGCATCAATGGAGTCGTATATGCATCTTACATACTCTTGACCAGATTGTTGGCGGGGATTTCGGATCGTGAGTACGGCAGCTTTGTTGCTCGTTAACAGTGCCACACTTCGGTATCTCAGGTTAGGTAAGTGCCTCAATGCGTATGCCATCGCCGCCAGCTCCACAAACGGGTTCTGTTCCGTTCTCATACCAAGTGTAAAGGAAAATCGCTCCAGTCTCGGCCCTCCTCGCACCGACACAGGGATCTCGATGACCCCGCCGACTCCTACTACACCGTTCCGTGCTGAACTGCTCACTGCAACCTGTATTGCCCAGCCCAGATCTGCTTGTGTTGTCTCTGTCTTGTCGTTGTCGGCAACAATGGTTTGCACCCGTTCTGCCCAAGGTGCTAATGTGAACGGATTGACCGTTTCCAGTTCCTCCATCGGTATCTCATTGAGTGCCACCGCCATCTCGTAAAATGGCGAGCGGTTGTATCGCCTGAACTTTCGGATACGGGATGTGGCGTTACGAAGTGTGTTGGTTGTTGGCAGGGTGTGGAGGTTAGTCCACATCTTGATTGCCCGCCTCCAAAAACGCTCTTGTGCGCTGGCGATATGCGCCTCTGCTTCTGCTACGCTTGTTGCCACTGTGAGAAACGTTCCCACGATTGCTTGTGCCCCAATCCTTTGGACTCGGTTGATAGGACTGGCTCTTCTATACTTGCATGCGTGCATCCAGACGTTTGAGGCGTAATCCACTACTGGTGCAACTGTAGCTGTAAACAGTTGTCTTGCTGTCGCTGGGGTGAGACCCCTGAGCCGTTGTAGCTCCATGGCCGCTTCCAGGCCCTTGGTCGCTGCTCGTGCAATGTGTTCTTTGTACTTCAAGCCGAAGTCCATGATCATTCCGAGAACCTTGGCTTGCGTTTTGGGTCGGACGAGCTGTCCCTTGATTGCGAAGGGCTCTGAGTTGGACTTATACGCCTTGCGGGTGAAGTGTATGATCGCCGTCTTCTCCGCCTCAAAGGTTGCGCCACTCCTCCTCTCCCAGTCCAGCGCATTCTCGATGATTGCTTCAATTCCGTCGCGATTGCTCTCTGCCGTCGGGCCTGTGACCCACGCTGTGAAGTCGTCCACGAAGGCTATCGCTCCTCCGTAGCAATCAATTCGCTGTTGTACGAGGTCTGCGTTGAAGAATAGGAACAAAACCGGCGACAGAGGGGAGCCTTGCGGCAGTCCAGCTTGTGGCAGGCTTCGCACCTCCGATGCTTGTCCGTTGACCCGAATGGTCGCCGTGCGATTCGAGCAAAAGGCCTCAATCCACCGGAGCAGCTCTCCCGGAATACCCCTTGCTCTTAATCGTTGGATGAGTCTGTCTTTGCACACTCCATTGTATGCCCCTTTGACATCGAAACTCACGAGGCTAAGGATCCGTCGGCCTCGCCAGGCAGCATAGATTTGCTCTTGCAGCAGCATCAGCGCTTGCTCAGCGGACCGCTGTTTACGGACTCCAAAATGGGTTGTTGGCAACAGTCCATATGTCTCGACAGCATGTGAGATCCTTTCTGCGATGACCGACTCCAATACTTTGCCCAGTGTAGACCAAGCTTCCAAATACGCAGGTCATCCAAAGGAGAGGCTTTCCTCTGAAAGGATAGCGGTGGTGAATGGTCTTTGGCTTGAGCTTGGATTCGAGCCACGAGACCGGGGCCACGGGGAGGTTCTCACCACCTCCAGGGGACGGGGCTGTCTCGATCTGGGTCGGCGATGGTGGCTTGTCCATACCTGCAGCTGACGCAGTGAAGTGATGAGTTTGTAAGTTTTCGAGGTGTCTTGAGAATGAAGACAGAATGGGTCGACCTTGTTTCACTCCATCAAAAGAAACCTGGGGCCCCAGATTATATAGACCTGGAGCAGGCAGACAGACACTTGAAAAGCATTGACATTTAGAGAGCTGCGACTAACCCGCCCGCAACCCCAAGGGGAACCCCGGGAGCAGCCGTGGCACTGTTCTTTGAGGGGCTGGGCTCCAGCGAGTCGTCAAAAATAAGTGTGCGCATATGAGTAGCCTCTCATGCTACGAGAGCCACCAGTAGCTGCTACTAAGAATAACATCACTCGCAGTAGCAGCCAGAGCCAGCAGTAGCTACTTGCTACGAGTAGCCGCTCTTGCTGACGTAGCCACCAGCTGCTTACAACGGGGACCAAGAACAGCTACCAGCAACCACCAGCTACTACGGATACCATGCCTGTCCCGCGGCTACTAGGAGCAGTCTCATCCTGACCCACTCTTAGCTGCTTGCTACCAGTAGCCACCCCAGTCATAGCCGCCGTGTCAATTGCTAGGCTGGCACGGCCCAGGATGTACTCCCCTCGCCAGATTACGCGCGGATCTCGCGGCGATGTACTATGACAAGGGCCGCTACGATAAGGCCGAGTCCGTGGGGGCCTCTCTTAACGAGTATTATTTGCGCAACGAGTGGGTATCTTGTCGACATTAATATCTCTCGATGATAGCTGGCGTTGCCCACAACTCGTGTCCGTTGTCGGATACCCACGGGTAAGCCTTGCTGGGTCATTGCAGAGAATGGAGCAAGGTCACGTCGACAAATAACAGGCTCAGATATGCAGCGTCGATTCAACACATTAAGGTTCGCCTGCTATAGAATGCGCATAATACGCATATGCTCCGCTTAAGAACGCTCATGCTCCCTTGTCGCGTTAAATTATGAATGCGGCAATCAATAATCCCATACTAGCAACCATGGGTATAGGGTTTGTAAAGGTGTTCCCAGCATTATCTGGAGGATCTCCCGACCCTGACCCCGGACCCACGCCCTGGGCGTCACTATCACCTCCATCCGTGGTGGTCTCGGAAGCGGAAGAGGAGGTGGTCTCGGTGGTCTCGGTAGTCTCGGTAGACGAGGTAGACGAGGTGGTCTCGGTAGTCGAGGTGGTCTCGGTAGTCGAGGTGGTCTCGGTAGTCGAGGTGGTCTCGGTAGTCGAGGTGGTCTCGGTAGTCGAGGTGGTCTCGGTAGTCGAGGTGGTCGACGTCGACGTCGACGTCGGCTTGGTCGTACAGAACCCATCGAAGCCACACGACTCGTCGGAATCGCAGCACTCACTATCGCAGCAGCTCCCAGAATCGAAGCAGGCGCCGGAAGGGCAGCACTTCTCCGTGTCCGGGTCATAGCAGCCCTGGGACGAGGCACAGCAGCTCTCGCCCTTGGAGCATGACCAGGCGTCGCCGCCATCAGTGCAACAGATGGAGAAGTCAGGATCGTAGCACGAGTCATCGCCGCACGAGATGCTACCATCTGGACAGCATCTACCACCCGAGACGCAACGCTCGTCTAGGTCGCATTTCGTCCCGTCGGCGCAGCAGATCTCTGTCTCTGGGTCATAGCAATAGTCCTCGTTGCAGTAGTCGTAGCCGGTTCTGCAGCACCCAGACGGGTCGACACACTCGTATCCTATATCGCAAGTCGTCCCTCGTTGCTCACAGCAGGTTTCCGTTTCGGGGTCGTAGCAAGCGTCGGCGCCGCACTCAATCATGGGCTGGTCACAGCAGCCACCCTCGACGCAGTTCTGGCCAGGATCGCAGCAGAGGCCGCTATCACATTCCGCTGCAGGTTGGTACTGTCAGTCGTGGCTCTCGCGTGTCGGACAAGGTATCTTGAGGTGTGGGCAGCTTACGTCCTCCATTGCTACACGTTTGTCGCGCGAAGAGATTAAAGTCGTTCAAGTCGCGGGCCACAAGCAGGGTAGCATTGTTAAATGCCTGGGGACGGAGCTCGCTCGATAGCTGAGAACCAGGCTTTGATTTAACGAGAGGCTGAGTTTCAACTCTGGCAGGACTACCTGCAAAGGCGGTGCCTGAGAGCACCAACAGCCCGACGATCAGCGGTTGAAACATGGCTCTCACGATGGCGTCAAAGCAAAGCAAACGGGGACAACACAGCTGGTCCGATTGGGGCTGGAAGGCGTGAGTTTAATGAAATCGACTCGGCCTAAAGTTGGACCATCTTACGATGGAGCCCTTATCAAGCCAAGTCTTGGAAGACCTAGACCAAGGCCGCAGTGACAAACAAGTGTGAGAGGAGAGATCGACCTATAAGAAGCCTAACAAGAAGAGTCAACAAGGTTAAAATTAGACATAACCCCCCCTGGTCGCTTCGCCACGAACAAGTGGTGTTCGGCAACGAGTCGTTCCAGTCTTCAGCGACTTAGCGTCTTCTTCTCATCCCTTTCTGGAGAGCCTTGCTGATCAACGGCCAAAGTCATTCTAATACGGAAAGAGGTGTGCAACAAGGGTGAGGGCAAAATATGATTGAATTGGGCTAGCCATAGGTACTAAGTGGGCAAGCCACTTAGGCCAAAAAATTTGGGAACAGCCGAGAAAACCTGGAACAATCATAGCCCCAGCTAATTTATATAGCTAGCTGTTAGTGCGGATTTTAGAAAGGGTTTAAATCGATTAATATATCTACTTAAGCTATCTGAAAATAGGATAAAAGGTAGAAAAGTCAATTAAGATTAGTATATTTTTGTGAAGGGCTGGCCCCGGGTTTGTTCAACGAAAGGGTGCGGTAGATTGGTCTATCTAAGACTAAGGAGCAGAGAGGTCATAGCTATAGAGCAGGGGTCTCACTGCAGGGCGGTAGGAGCTGGCAGAAGGAAAGGTCAATCTCGCCTAATCGCGTCCCGGCCGACCTTATCACCGACGGTTGGCCAGCCCGGCGCATTAGGGCGGTAATGGTAAAGTCAAATGTGCAGATGCTTGCTGGGCCACAGAAGACCTTGGCTTGATGAAAGAAAGGGCGCCAATAGTCATATCCCATTGGCAGGTTACACCCTGCCCCTGTGAAAAGACAAAATATCATCCTTCTCTATGCAGGAGGAGTGGAGGAGTGGAGTTCTGCAAGGCTGTCACACTTCACTATGGTGGAGCTGATCGCATGACCCCTGATGATACGTAGGCAGCAGATTAATCATTACACAACATCAAGTACTCTCTTGCATAATCCGGATGACATGAGGATCCGCAGCCGCACTGGCAATATCCTGGAACGTCTTGGTCGGGAACGTCTCATGGCGCAAGAAGGACACCATGCCGAGCACTAGGGCGGCGAAGGCGATCAGGTTCGCCAGAGCGTAGGGGATGAATAGGGACGTGGCCAGGTACCCGTACCGGTTGACGTCGTTCCAGCGGGTGACTTCTCGGGTGGAATTGTACCTGATAACCGCCACATTAATCGGTCAGCAACACCAGAAGAAAGGACTGCGACTTACGTCAAAAGCCTATTATGCAACAAGGTCACCGTGATATTAAAGCTCAACTCTTCAACCAGCACTGCCAGCGTCCTGTTCCTAGCAAGCGCCTTGTCCTGCAAGCGCTGCCCCGACGGGTCCGTCTCGTTATCAGACGCATACAGACCATAGATGGCGTTGAAGTCGAAGAAGACATCCAAGTCGACGCTCCCCAAGATGCTGGTCTGTTGTATCGGCGACTCGATGAGCCCGAACTGCGCCGCACGGCCCAGTCCCAAGTTGGTGTCGGTGCCGGATATGTTCTCCTGTTTTAACCACGCAAACGAACCCACCAACTGGTCCATCAGCGCCCACATGAAGGCGGCGTACGCGTGACTCGCCATGTCCGACACCTCGCCCGGCCTGTCGCGGGGGAAGCCCACCTCCTCGCGCACCCCGTACGAGCCCGTCACGTTTTGGATGCCGCGGTCCCACTCGAGCCGTAGGTCGTACGTCGCGTTGTGCAGGCGGCAGACCTGCCATGCCCGGGTGCGGATGCGGTCTCCTTTGCTGTTAAGGACGTACCGCTGAAAGGTCATCCATAGCTCGTTGGCGGCGTTGGAGGGCTCCTGATAGCGCGGTTCAGAGAGGGCGACCAGGTCGTCGGTGTTGTTGATTGTTGGGACGAAGCCGAAGTAGGCGTTGTCGGCTTGGCGGGCTGTGCCTTTGGGTACGGCCATGTGCTTCTGAAGGAGCCGGTTAATTGCAAAGCGATTCACTTACCGAAGCTTTTCCTCCTGCCTGTACGAGTCACCGACAATTTGACCAATGAGGCTCGGGTAAAAGACGCAGTGACACAGACTCATGCCAAAGCCGATGAGGAAAAACACTACCACCAGGGCGGGAGACTTCCAGCGGTGGTAAGTCCGCGGCTTCCACAATGCGATGGCGAAGCGCCGGGATGTCTGAGAGGAGCCAGTGCCGCGACTTGAAGCCGGCCTCTCACTAGGTGGAGGTGACAGCAAAGCTTGAGGAAGGGTCGGGCTCAACCTCGGTCTCGTCGGCGCACTGATGGCCGGACTGGGCGGTTCGGAGCCGCAGGCGACGCCAAGGTGAGCAGGTGTGCTCTGCCTTGCTTCGATCTCTGTGAGGCCATTCGCTGCAGCTTGCTGACCGCGTGGGTCATCGTGGCCAGGATCGGGAGAGGTGCTCATCGAGCTGTCCACGACCGTTGCGGGAACATTGGCTGGGGCCTTGAGGAGGCCGAAGCCCTTCGGACTAGGAACGGCAGCGACAATAGTAGACATCGCAAACCAGCGGGCTGGACGTCACCACAACTGGCGCAGCGAGTTCACGACAAGATATGAGGTAGTTCATGTCAAGAAATGTTGACTCGGCTTTTCTACTGACGTACCTGCATCCCTTTTATGTGTTACCGCAGTCACCACCTCCTCGGTAGTCGAAGGAGGTGTGCTTGTGAAAGGAAGATGCAACCCATAAATCGAGGCGAGGGGCGTCAGCCACCATCGCCTAGCGTCTTCAAGCGCTATGAATGGTGGGCGTCGTGGCACTAGTTCCCCCGATGACACAGCCACCCGCTGAGCCCGCTGAGCGAGATATCGTGGTCTATGTGGTCCAATGTCATGCCGAACAACGGCGCATGCTTGACCGGAAGGCTGGTGGTAGCAAAGGCCAATGTAAACTACCAGATGGGTGTCAAGGGCTGCGGTACCGATACAGTCGGTGACTTAGCGATGTACAGAGCAGTCCCGACTGATCCTATCGGACCCCTCTCAGACACATCCGGATTAAGGTGCAGTTTCCGCTCCGCTAGATACCCAAAGGAGTGCCCTTTCCCCATAAAAACAGGTCCTTCAGACCCTCTACGTATTCAATCAAGTCACATTCTGTACACATACTGCAGCCCACCTAGAACCCTGTCAAATGGGTCGATCCGCGGTTGACTGGCGGCAAGGGGGCGGGCGGCATGCTCGGCAGGCTCGTTAAGAAGCAAGCCCAAGTCCATCTTGGGCGATGACGTTGATGATGTGCTGTTGCGTTGGTGCCGGCCTCAGAAAGGCAGCGTTGGGGGAGGAGGAATTTGGTTGACACCGGCAGGCTTGTCGGAAGGGCATTTGACAGATGGATGGATTTTATTTCGCCCGGGGGTCCACACCCCATAGGGCCTTTGCGCTAGGCTGCTTACGTTTCGTACAGTGCTGCAATGATCACCCCAAAGCCCCACATTTTTACTTTCATTCCGCGGAATGCCAGGGTCACGCACTGGGCAGGACGGGATTGGCAAAAAATGCGCCCCCTGCCCACTGTCCGTACAAAGAGCAATCCTCTTTGAGAATAAGATAGACCAATTCCGTCTGCTCCACGGGAGGGATCATGCCATGGTGATGCAATGGTGCTGATGAGATTTGGAAAAGCAACTCATAATTTTAGACTATTCTAAATCAAGGGAAGTCTTAGGATACCGTACCATGAACCTTCATGGCATGGTTCTGTACATGCATCTTATGCTGCAGGTCTAGGTCACAAACCTCACACCGAGAGGGAGTATTATCAGGCAGCTGATTAAGATGCCTTCGGCGGAAGTGCTTCGACAGGTCACCGGAAGTGTAAAACTCATGGGTGAGCTCGCTCACACGAGGGTCGTTTGGTTCAAGAGAGAGTGCAGCACCGATGCACAGAAAACATCTCCTCGGCCTCTCCTTCTCGTTTTTGACGAATACAGAGAGCACGGCAATACCCACAGGGCTATCTTCCGATGGGCCACAATGAGAACTGGACAGCGGCTCCTTCGCTGCCGAGACGTTGGTTCGACGTGCGGTACGGCCTTCTACCACGCTGCAGTAAGCGACGATGGCGTCGATGAGGTTGTCCCTGCGTCTATGATATCCTTCGAGAGTGTTATCGACTGGGGCGGTCAGCGCTTCAACTAGGCGCTTCTGTGCTGGGCGCTGAGGGGGACAGGTTGCATCTACGGCCATGGGTTTGGAGAACCCGCGGCCCTGGAGTTGGGATTGGATATCATCCACAGCCTGCTCATCCGTCCAGGCGTCTTTGATTCGTTGTAATAGCTCCCTCTTGAGCCTCTGCTTCTCGTTCCTTAGCGTTCGAACGGTGTCCTGGCGTTTCTTCGATCCAGGTGGCAGCCGTCGGACCTGTTCCGTTAGCTTCCTGATGCGAGGGTATGTGTTGACAGATGCAGCTTGCTCTGCCGTCAAATCGGTCGGCCGCCGCTTGCTGTTGGCATGACCGATGCTACAAGCCTGCTTCAGCAGCGCCTGTTGCGGTCTCTGGCCCCGGATGATCGCCCAGGTATCTAGACGTAGTTGGCGTCCGAGGTAATGCTTCTGGAACGGAACTGAACTGTTGTGGTCGAGCGCTAAGTTGCGGATAGCATCGCTAGCATAGGCTGCAGAGGGGTCAGCTTGGGTAGTAGTCAACAGGTAATAGTGAAACTTACGGCTTCCGTCGAGCTCGTTGCCAGCGTTGTAGCGCAGGCTATAGCAGATGGTAGTATACAGTCGGCCTAATATTTCTCCAATTCTCTTAATCCATGCCGCCATCATGCCATACGTGATGGGTTCTGTTAGTGACATCTCGAAGCCGGTAGCGGTTTTGACGGCTAGGCGGAACAAGGGTACGTCATCCAAATCATCTCGGAGTGGCAAACGCAACTCCCGGTCGTCAGGGTGGATGTCCAAGTTGTCCAGCTGCACAGCTGAGACGAGGTAAGATGCCAGAAAGGCTCGATGCCGGAACAAGATGCCCAAGAGGAAGGCATGGGGGCTAAGAAGTAAGGTTGGATCAAAAATTGTCTCGGGGACAGTAAATGTCTTGCTGTTACAGGTCAACATCGTCTGTATCAAGGTAGACCAGTCCGTCAGATAGATATCACCTACGCGTCCTTGGTACCGAGGTACGTCTTGGTAAACTCCGGCGTGAACTGGATAAGAATGTTGTGGGGTCCTCCTTCAGGGTCTCTTGCCAATACAACTCGAATGTCTCTAAACCGGAGCCGCAAGATGGCCAAGGGACGAGCACCGGCAGGAGCAAGTAGGAGAAGGAATAAAACCGCAAGAATCCGGAGCTCTCCGAGATCAAACGACTTTCTCGTCGTACTCACCGTTGTTTCAATTTGCTCCTTGAGGTCATCAATCGTCATACAGCGGTTCTCCCTCTTCTTTGTGCTCAGGTCATGATCCTTTGCCAGCTTTCGAAGGACCTGCGGTCGTTAGAGAATAATGGGCTGTAGTGGGCTCGGAGACATACCCTATGCATCTGACGATTCATTTTCGGGTCGAGCTTTGCACCCACGGCCCTCTCATATACAAGTCGAAAGACCTTCCAGGTTGTGCCCAGTGCGCTGCTTGTTTTGATGCCCTTCATCTTCCTATCATCCTTGCCAGTCTTCAGGTCTAGGCGCCATGTGAAGAAGCTTGCGAGTATACCGACGGAAATGGATTGGAGGCATTCATGGGGATTGCCAAATTTGTTCTTATTGCAGAAGCTAGAGTATCGTTAGCGAGAGCCAAGGCAGACGGGTTTCTGGGACGTTACAGCTGCCAGTGTTCCTCAACCGCGTTGAGGAGTTTCTCAGTCCCAGGACTGTAGTCTTGACCGTCAAGAGCACCCTCATTGACCTCTGCCGCTATCCGATGGTAATACTCTGGCGGGTGGACGTTGTCAAGGAGCTGAGTAAGATCATCGACGTCAACATGGTCGTCAACATCATCGAAGGGGTTGATCTCGGTGATGTCGGTCTCTGCGTCAGACACTTCATCTTCGTTCACGTCAAAGACTTCGTCATCCTCGGGCGAGAACGATGCGTCTGAATCGTCGGCATCGCCAAACAAACGCTGGCGGCGCCGCATGCTAAGGAGGGTTCGAAGACGTAGACAAGAGGATCTTGGATCGTGGAGACGATGCGAGTAGCGGCTGAGTGAAGCCGATGCTGCCTCGGTTTCTTAGAGAAAAGAAAGAGAGGGAAGGGAGGTGAGCACGCTGCCCTCCGCGGGAGCGGGGGCTACTCTTAATAGTCGAGGGAGCCATTTCTGGCTCTGTTGCTGACGGTAATACATTCTGGACGAGAGGCCCAATTCAGGGCACTGGCTCGGTGGAGCAAAATTATTTTGGGTGGTACATTGGGGGTACACTACCAGCAACACCAATGTGGACCGAGCCCGGGTGGACCTTTATGGCGGACTTTCCTAATTACTACTTAACAGCGAAGTGAATGTCGCATAAGTGTTCTTGCAGAACCGTTCGGCAAGCGACGCTCACTATAACACCCTAGACTTAGACTGGGAGAAGCTGAGGGAAGGTTAGCGGGGTCGTGTCTCCACTAATAAACCGGAGCAATGCTGGGCGAGGGGGACCTACCACGGTAATGGTAGTCGCCTTGATCTTCTCGACAAGCGTTAGCAGGTCCCGCTTGCTGTTCGATGATTCAGTGGACGTTGAACAACAGTTCACGTCGGCACCGCGCATGGCCAGCTATCACTAAGAGGCCAGTCTATTTTTCGGTCGTCCGCCTGTCCATGTCAAAACGTCTATAAATACAGCGCCCTTCCACCAGTCCGTCTCCGTCAAGGTAGTACCTATATGCTTAGACCATGACCACCCTTCCTTCCTCGACCCGAAAACGTGACAGAACCAATGAAAACTTCTCTAGGGCCACTCAACGTCTTATGCGTAGGTGTAACCAGTTGAGCGATCGCTATAACGCGGATGTCTACATCGTAGTTCGGCGAAATCATCGACATTATGACTATAACTCTACTAATGACCCGTTGTTTCCCACTCCTCTCATTAAGATTGTGATGAAACCCATCCCAGGCACTTACTGTTCGCTAACTATGTATTAGGAGCAAGCTTATCCGTTGACTATTAGGAGAACGCCAGCGAGCTTCCAGCAGTCCTAGACTATCACACCCCTATCACCCACGTCCAGTCCAATCAATAGCCAGCGGGACTCAGAGGGGGATGGAGATGACCAAGCAAGATTAGACAATAGAGAATAAAGGAACGATCATACTTAGCTTAATCGAGCTAGGGATTGCTACTCTAATCCGAAGGGAAAATTCTTTTTAAATCCACCCAATCTTATTTGACTTTAGATTGTGGTCCTTTGCGCTGCTATTCTAAGCTGTATGTGCATCGTGTTGGTTGGTGATGCAGATCCGATCCGATCGATTCCCAGTAGTTATCGCCAAATGCAGATGAGAATACTGCGCGTCTCTCTTAAACATACAAAGTTCTATATAAAGCCCTCGTTTCCTGACCAAGAGTATTCAAGCCAATAGATTACTTTACGGTTGACCAGAGGCTGCATGGTAGGGATGAGCGGGGCACCACCCTTGGACAGCGACGTTTCCGAACTCAAAAGTTCGCATTTCTTCCTGTATCTGCCTGGGAGGAACAATACAACGCTTGATATATAGACTACACGCAATCATTGGGGAAAAGAGGTCTTAGCATTCACGCACAAGCCTTAAATAGAGATCGCTCGTCCTAGCTGTCCAAGTCTCCCTGCTCCTATAACTCCCTTTTCTTGACTTCGCAACGACCATCTACCTGAGATAGCACGATGCGTCGACATCTAAATGCAAGGCCTCGAAAAATACGGTCGCGTCGCTTGCGATCTTTATCACCCTTTTCGGCTGGTTTTGTGGAGCGATACACCGCTGCACAGGCAACAAGGCAGCGGCCGGAGTCATCAGCCAAACCTCAGGAGTTCGTCGAGAGAGCTCAAGGCTCAAGCAGCAAGGGCAGAGTTCGATACCAACATACAACGTCGAAATCGCCTTACTCCAGAAGAACGACTCAAGGAGGACGGAGAGCGTCTCTTTCAGTCCCTAAAATCGAGTCCCGACAGTGTGCTGGTCCCGCAGCCCACCCCGAAGCCAGTATTTCGCAGGGCGCGATGCCGCGCAACCGAGTGCCTGTATGGCCCTTTCGATGGTCTGTATGGAGCCGAGATCCGATACAAGTATCGCATATCGCTTGAATGGAGGGGGCAACCTCAGCTCGAGCATTACCATGTCCGTTGCATGGAATGCGTGGTACCGCTTCCGGCCCTAGCCCGCTCACAGTTCAAACTAGATGGAAGGGCGTCGTGGAGCCTGAGGATTGGCAAATGGATGGAGCATCGAGGCAGGATCAACGTTGAAAAGATTGCAGCATACATCGACAGGGAGGCTGCTTATTCTCGATGGTTCAGGGACACGATCGACGAGATATTCCAACATAGAGTTACAACACCAGCTTTCATGCAATACTGGAGGCGGCTCTTGTCAATGCCCCCCTTTTCCTCGCGGCCCTAAGGTACCGGTTTTGAAGGAATATATAACCTCCGAGGATGAAGTGTGCGGGCTGTGGGATGTTATCTGCCGCCCCCACGGTGAGGCATCCTATGTCTTCTTTGATGAAGATCCTCCCTGGGCCCGCGTGCCACCGGAAGAGCTGGAGATGGATCCTGATGAGAGTTCAGAAGCTGTCAGATCCAAAACAACCACTTCAGCATGCCAGCAAAGTGTACCAGCTGAGTCGTCCCTTTGGCCGCCCGCTGCAGACACGACCTGATCTATCCTTCTATTTAGGGTATAGAGGAGACATCACACTCAGATGGCTGAAACAAGAGGCTGGAATGGCCCGTAAGCCTATTTCCTCAACTACTAGTCAGTAAAACGCATTGAATCTATTATATTTTACTCTCTATGCTAGTGTCTAAAATGGCTCTGCCAGCTGAAGATGCAATGACGCATAAGAATCATCGCAGCCTTTGAGCACGACCCCTTCCCATTGTTTGACCAGAAGCGGGATTACTGCCGTGATCCTCTGATGCCTCATGGCGCTGCTCCTCTTCAGGGTAGGGCCGAACGATTCGCTTTTGTTTCTGGTGTAGGCGCGTCTTCGATCGCGACAATGGCAAACAAAAGCTGGGTGGCCAATTTGTCTGGAAAATATCAATTCGGCTCGTCAGGACCGAGCTCCGCATATCGAGCTGTGTGCATCAATATGATAGCGAATGGTTTGCGAACCGGACACTATGCTACACCTGATGCTGCCAGTTGGCAACTGGACTGGCACAAGGCCACCGCGTGGGCTCGCTACTAGTCCGCGGTACATATTTCAGGCCGACCCGAAGTACTCGGATGGCTAAGGGACAGAGCGCCTAAACCCAAAATGGAGTTTTAGAACAGTGTCCCCTCTCGCCCACCGTAAAAGACGCAGACTACTTGGGATGGGACCCAATGGAAAGCGGGCGGCCCGCGCCGCGACTCGGCCTAAGTAGCTTGAAGACGGTGTTGGCGCCGCAGCGGGTCCTTCCAAGGGTATCTCCTGCTCGACTCTCTCCTCAATAATGTCGCGGTGCAGCCACCACAGGTGGCGCGATGGACCAAGCACCTCGGGCGTCAGTGGGAGCGGGCCTGCAAGATCGGTGGCGAGGTCGAGGAATACCTCGTTACCGAAGCGAAGGGCTGCGAAATCGTACTCCGATTCGAGTTGACGCAGGAGGGTGGTCAGCGACACGCGGGATGACTCGGAAATATTGGCGTCGGCGAGCTTTGTGACCAGGTAATCGTGCATGCACCCAATACCGTCGCCCTCGCCTCTACGGCCCACTTCAGCAATAGCGCTCGCACCGTCGGGGAGATGGACCACCGCCTCGCCGAAGTCTTGCACGAGGCGATCCGGAATGCGCTCCTTGCGCATGCCTACACCGTCGTTGCCACCAAAGCGGCGGCGGCGTGCGAGCGAACGGACGTAGTACATTGCGTGACAGAAGAAGTTTAAGACGCCAGCTACGCCGTAGGGCTCGGGTTTCAGGAATAGGCAATTGCCACGGCGCTTGTCATGGACGATGGCGATGAACAGCACGTGCCGAAGGCCGTGGGCAAGCGGTGGCAATGTATCGGTAGCCCGCAGGTCCACGCCGCCGGTGCAGCCGGGAGCGCTGTGCCGCTTGAGGTGACTACTGATACGAGGCGTGCCGACTCCCAGGAAGTAGGCGGACAGCCGGCCGTGAGGGTCGCGGCACACGAAGGCGCCGCGCACGAAGCCCTGGTTGCGCTCTACCGCCAGGGCGGTAAGGTACCACATGATGCCCGTCACTTGGCGGTTGCGGGTGTCCGGGTGAGTCTGGCGAGCCGCGTCCCGCCGCAGTTCATCGGCCGGGTAGGGTGAGGTCATGATAGCGCACACGTCTTGGGCGCCTTGTGCTACCAGCGCGCGAATCTCAGCCTCGCGGGGAGCCAAGTTGGCGGCGGCGATATAGGCGGCGAGGCGATCCATGACTGGACGTGTTCGAAACGGCGGCATCCAAAGGGGATGCGGTCGGGCCGCCCACACAAGATCGATTTGAGGCCTGTCACCTGCGTTTGAACACTTTTTTCGCTATACTCATCTCATCGAGGTATTTCAGATTCGATAAAATATGGAGCGCTAGTCAACGGCAATGTACTGACAATTGGCGCTGCCTCGGCGACGATATTCTGCGGTAACGAGAGAAGGGAAGAAAGTGGACCACGGGTTGGGGGAGCGTCAGACGTGAAAGCGATTGTAGTTGGGAAAGCTGCTATGTACAATGCAATTAGCTACATAGTAGGAAAATACCATAAGTAAGCGCCCTTACAATCTCAATAAGAGGAGTTGGAAATGAAGGGTCCTTAGAGGAGTTGTAATCATAATGCTGATGGTTTTGGCGCACTACAATATAGAAATCAGCGCCGTAGCGGCTGCTTAGTTGATCACATCTTCTCATCAGTCGCTGAACTGCCCGAGTGAAATTCTCCCTCGTTCTATCCCGCTTTTTAGACGAAAAGGCCCGCTCGAGCACCATTGCACTAAGAGATACAGCAAACGCGTTAGTAAGGGTGAAAAGCAGTTCTGCTTGTCATGCGGTATTTATAGTGGATCGAGGTTCTATTGTTAGATTTTAATTTAGGGTGCTAATTCTGGCCTAGCATTCGTCCCAGCCACTAAAGTGCTTCTTTGCGATCTTGCACTTACCTTCCTCGGTCACGTTCGCAACACTAAAGCCAAGAATAACACTAGCAGAGCCTAGCGAAAGCGGGCCACAGATATTGATGATAGTCCGAACTTGCGCTCGACTGGTCGACATCTAACAGGCTCTGTCTTCGAGGAAGGACCCTGCCAAAGAGAGCCTGTCAAAGAGAACTCGCCAAGTGGAGCAAGAGATAACAGTGCCCCCCACTCCTCAAAGAACTCTAGCGTCTTCCCTAAACCTCGTGGAATCCAGGGGAAGCCTGTGGAATCTGGAGCGCCACGAGGCCTCCGATCTCACTCTGATCGCCCGGAAACCTCTTGCTCTCCTCACTCCATACACCAACATCAACACCCCAAGCCTGGACGTCCCTCAATTATCATATTCTCCTGCTGCAGATGCAGCTGGCCCTCTGGTCAGGTTTCGCTGCTGGAAAAGATGCCGTCAACGTCGGTCTTCATAGCTGCCGGTTCGAGATAAAGGAGGGACGATTTGCCCGAAGGGGAGTATAGGTTTGCTGTGGTCCCGTTCTGTCTGTACGCTCTGGGCGCCAGTAATGCAATGGAGTGTGGTGGCATAGCATTGGCGTGGCCTCGCCCTATTCACCCAAGAGTGAGGCTGTCAGGCCGCCACCTAGCCGCCAAGGCAGACCAGGGTTGCGCTGTGGTCACAGACCTGGCGCCAACAGGTCCACCGCCCCAGCCCCTTATTCTGTCCCCGAACATCACTTCCGGCCCAACGGTAGGCACATACTTGAGCTGACACCCGACACACGCATGAGGCGATTCATCGCAAACAATAGGCGGCGGTTCGGATTCTCGATTGAACCATGTCCAATATCCCTTCCTTCGACCCCTCGTACTCAAACAAGCAGCCGAGACTGCAAGAGCCGCACACCTATGATGGAGCCTTGGCGAGGAATCCATGGCCGAACACCATCGAGCGATCGATGGTTCCCGAGACCACCTCCACAGTCACTGCGTCAAACCTCCATGCCTCTGTGGGGCCCTCGGGAAGAGCTGTCAGCGACGAAGCGATCATGCGAGTACCCCAAGCGTGGGGTAGCTGGGAGCATTGCCCATTCGGTCCCGGTCCCGAGGGCAACTTTCCCACTCCGTCTTACCATGGACGGCCCGGAGGTCAACTGGCCCCATTTCCGGATTACCGAACTCTTGGAACGCCTGATGGGGCTCTCGCCGTAGCCACCTCGTGTGCCGTTGCGGTTGCTCATGGGAGTGGGGATCAAAGTCCTTATGGTACAGCCCAAGGCACTCAGGGCCAGGAGACACCATCGTATAGCTTGGCCACATCGCAGTTTGCGGTCAGCTACAACCCCCCCAACTTCCAATATGGGCTTCCAGTCCCTGACAACCAGCTCGGTGGCTCTTTGGAGGTCTACGCCCAGTCACAGATGGTACTCGACCCTCCAAACCTGCCAATGTATTTCCAGGAGTGCAATTTATTATCCGGCCCATCGAGCTATCAAGAGGTTGGGGGCATTATCGACGATGGGAGTGCCTTGAATGCCCTTGACACCGAGTCCGATCTCGTTTGCTTCGGCATGGTGAGTAGCAGCCCATCAATTGACCCCTGTGATCGAACAGTATTAGAACTCACTCCCTGCAGCTCGTAGGCATTCCCGGGACCTGTCGGCGCCGTGCTTTGGCTGAAACATCGGGCTACCCTATCAAGCTCGAAACCCCGGAATCCTTTGTTGGGACAAAGGATCCCAACCTCAAGGGAGACGTGAGCCCTGACTCTACTTATCTCACAACAGCCCTCCTGGAGGAATTAACCCTCGAACTTCAAGTCGCTTGTACCGTGTCGATAGATCCGCCCAAGTTGATGAGCAACGGCAAGCCTCTCCGTGTGTCAGGCCTCACATCAAAGTGTTCTCTGGACATCATCCTCTATGGGCCAATTGAGCTCTCCGACGCCATTTGCACCTTCATCGAAGAGTGCAATGAATACCTTGAAGACCAACGCAAGTTGTACCTCCAGGACCCGGTTGGCTGCGACCGGAATGTGCGATACTGCAACCCGCACAGACTGCCCCCGTTGGATCCGGAATGCATTCAGTTCACGTTTGATCTGGCACACAAACGACAGAACCTCGTGGAGCTCGAAGATATTGAACCACGACCGGAGTTAATGGAAATCTTGAACTCTCAGGAGGACTTACCAGAAGCATTGCAGCCGCCTGCAATAGCAACGTCGCTAGAGAGGTAGGCCCAGGTTGAAACTCTCCGACTTGTAACACCCCCGATCTCTGACATCGCCGTTAGGTATCAGAAGCAGGCCTTGACGTTTATGCTGCGAAGAGAGCAGGGCTGGGCATTTGACGGGGCGAGACCAGATATATGGGAGGCGGTAGAAAGCGGACGGGGGCATTGGTACGCCCCCTTGCATTGCTACTTATGGCGTTCCAAGTGACTGACATCTTGCAAGCTTTACAAACCGAATATCAGACGCCCGCCAAATGGATGAGCCCCCAGCCTTCTACGGAGGAATCATTGCGGATCCGATGGGCTTTGGAAAAACACTCACCATGATTGCTCTAGTCGCCTCGGATGCCCACCACCCGACGTTCAGTGATACGTCTGCGGTTTCCGGGGTTCTTGGAGAGGAATCTTGTGGGCTGACATTAATTATCGTCCCACCACCGTGTATGTGTGCCAGACATGGTTTAGGCAGCATATGTGAGGCGGAGCAGCTGACGAGCGTATAGTACTGGGCACTTGGGAGGAAGAACTCGCAACGTGCGTTGCATTCCCCTGACCATAGCCCCGTGACATAGCTTCCCTGAGCACGCAGCGCTGACAGCGATTATAGTCATGTCGTGCCTCTGGGGCTACCATGGCGCTTGCACCACGGCAAATCGCGTCTGACGGACCCCTCGGAGCTCCAGGACACGGCGCTTGTGCTTACAACCTACCACACAGTGTCTACAGAGTGGCGAAACGGGAGCGGCCGCGAGTCTTCCGTGCTGTTCACGACCCGGTGGAGGCGAGTGGTGTTGGATGAAGGTATGGTAACACTGACTCGAGCACCAAGAGTAGACGTTGACTTGGATAGCACACTTCATCCGCAATAGCGAATCGCAAATGGCGCGAGCCGTGTGTGCCCTCAACTCCGTCTCACGCTGGGCTGTCACCGGCACTCCCCTTCAGAACCACCTTAACGACCTGGCAGCCCTTCTCAAGTTCCTCAACGTCTACCCCTACAACGAGAAGCGTGTATTCGACGCGGACATCTCGCACCCGTGGAAGGCCGGCAACGCTGACGAGGCCGTCAAGAGACTGAAGCGCTTGGCAGGCTGTCTTCTACTCCGCCGGCCCAAGGGGACGGTCCAACTACCACCGAGGCACGACCGGGCATGTCATGTCGAGTTCCAGCCTGTGGAGCGGGAGCTCTACGACCAAGTCAGGACACAGGCGATTGCGCGGTTCGACGAGGCGCTACTGCAAGGCAACCATGAAACGAGAACGGCGTCTTTTGTCAGCGTTTTGCAGCAAATCGAGGCCATGAGGATGGTCTGCAATCTTGGACTTCTCTACCCGAGTAGGCACGACACGTCCAGCATGACAGGGAAGATGCCCGACATGGATAACTGGCAGGAGACTGCCCAGCGTGGGTTCAACCTCCGCTTCGAGATGGGCAGCATCCTGTGCCACTATTGCCCCTGCACTCTCGACGCAACCTGCAATCCTCTCGGCGATACAGAGTCCACGAAGCCTCTCTTCGCCCAATGCTTGAGGTTCATCTGCTCGAGCTGCGTCCAGGGACTGGCACACAGGATCCAGGCACTCGGGTGTGGGCATAACCCGCCGTGCCCTATGGCTCCTGTATCAACAAGCGCGTCGAGTTTGGAGGAGTCGCCCCTTCAGATCTCACTCGGCAACGTCGTAGGATCTGCGTATCTTCCTACAAAAGTGAAGGCTCTGGTCGAGGACCTGCAAGCATTGCCTGGCGATGTCAAGTGGTACGTAAAGTCTACTAGTGGATGGCATGGCTCCAGTACTTACTCGATACTAGTGTCGTGTTCTCAACTTGGAGGATGACACTCGACGTGGTGGAGTCAGGGCTCAAGCAAGCAGGCATTCTCGGACTCCGGTTCGATGGCAAGGTCCCGCAAAGGGACAGACAAGGAGTTGTTGAGCGATTCCGCAATGACCCAACCATTCGTGTACTGCTGTTGACTCTCTCCTGCGGAGCAGTTGGGTAACTAAGATAGCGGATATCCCCGAGGGTTTCGGTTCGAGGAGCTGACTGGGCAAAACACAGGCTAACGCTGACTGCCGCGTCACGGGCATACCTGATGGAACCACACTGGTAGGTGGAAGTGAAGGGGGAACCTTTAAGACACTTCGGCTCACAGTTCCCCACAGGAACCCAACTCTTGAAGACCAGGCACTCGCAAGAATCCACAGGATCGGACAAAAACGAGAAGTGACGACGTTGCGTTTCTACGTCCGGGACTCCTTCGAAGAGGTACGACCCCAAGGCACCAGGGATTCCTGTGCGCAGCCTGATCTAATGCGTCATCTTGAATAGAATATCGTCAAGAACCAGCAGTTCAAGAGGGATCTTGCGGGCATTCTGCTTGCGCCGAGCGGGGTTGCTATTGACAACATGGGACATTTGAAGGTAGGTAACTATCATCCAGCTGCTGCGGCGTGCTTTTTCTGACTCTGGTGCAGCGCCTTCGGGCACTCATCTAGCATTCTCCCTACTGGCCGGTGGCTCAGGACTTCGTGGGTGTATTGCTGCTTCGCCGAAGGGCTCCGCTGCAACTCGCAACTGCCGTCGCGTGGAGAGCTTCAAGGTCACCAACATGTTCCACGGCGCCAAAATTGAGCTCAATGTCCGCTGCTCAAAGGATATCAAATGTCAAGGTCGTAAAGGTGATGCAAGACGGAAGGGCGCTGCCAGAATCGTGGGTTACGGACATCCAGGCGGGTGACAGCTACCAGCTTTCCGCCTAGTGTTGCAGTGATAACGGCCACGAGAAAAATTGCTCTAACTGACAAGGGTAGTGGGTTTATCGGGGCCTTTTATTGTACTCGCACATCATTTGTGAAATGCAAGATCTCGCCCCTAAATAAAGGCTCCGAGTATCTCCAACTTCTGCCGTTCAACTTCAAGCATGTTGCGCAGGTTGTGCCTCCAGTCGTCGAAAGCGATTATTCCTACGTGGTCCTCAACAAAATCGTACAATACAATACAATACAATGTCTCATATCGCGCCAAACTGTGTCTACGCGCTTTTAGTGGCTAGCTAACCCGAGCCGTGAGACGAATCAGATGACACCTTGGCATACGCACGACAACAACGCCGCAGTGCCACAGGGTTACTGGTGTGCCTAGCTGCGGCTGACCGTGGCTGTGCTGTTGGGCCCAGTTGAGCGCTTCGACAGCCTTGGGCACCCATCTCGCCTTCCACCAGAGACGCCAAAAAGTCCCCTTCCCACAAAACGCTGAGGAGAAGCTGTCAATACAGTGGTTTTTGAGGCATCCTGTGTGTCGGCGAGGACAGGGTCGAGTCAAAATGCCGCTCTCAGCGCGAGTCTCGCCCGCAGCCCAGCGCGTCATCCGCGAAGCTTTCACCGACCTCGAACGTACCATTTCGGATAAGGACAGGGCAGACTTTGCCAGCACGACATTGGAAAATGTGATCAAGGCTGCTCATGAGATCGAGAACCAGCTCGCCGCGCGCCAGTTGCTGCGGAACATGCGGCGCCTGGTGCCGTTGTTCACCGGGCTGGAGTACTACTCCAAGTCGATCGAGGTTGTCTGCAATGGGACACCGTATCTGCCTTGGATATGGGCACCGATCAAGCTGATTCTCAAGGTACGTGCTACTCAGTTGCCACGATCGCCAGAGACGTTGGCCTTCTGGCTCAATAGTGCTGGAAAGAACTTATAGCTGATCTAGTATGGTTCCTAGATTGCATCTGACTACGTCGACGCGTTTGAGAAGATCACAGGGGCGTACGCTCGGATAGCAGAACCCTTAGCCAGGTTCAAGATTCTCCATCAGACATACTCGAAGAACATGGAACTCCAGCAGACCCTCGCCATTTTCTACTCGGACATTCTCAAGTTCCACAAGGAGGCGTACAAGTTCGTGCGTAGGGGCGGTAGGTCCACAACTGGCCATCTCTTCGGCGGTAGCTAATATGTTGCAGGCTGGAAGGTGTTCTTCATGACTTCCTGGGGCTGCTTCCAGCGTCGGTTCGACAGCATCATTGACGACCTCAAAGCACATGAAAACCTTGTCGACAAGACCGCCAGCGTGGTGGGACTCTCCGAGGCGCGGAAGATGAGGGAGGATCTGGTCGCTTTGAGACGAGAGTCGCTTGACAAAGTCGCGAAGGAAGAAGAGGAGCGCACAGCGGCGCAATACGTTGCCATCGTCGGCTGGCTGAAAATGGACGACACTGAACAGGCCAAGATCTTCGAGTCCGTAATGGAGGAGCCCGAGAAATATTCCGAGACTTGCGATTGGATATTTGGCCAAGATAAGATCGCGGCGTGGATGAGGTGTAGCCAGGAGTCGACTTTCCTCGTCCTTCACGGCCATCCAGGAACCGGGAAAAGTGTGCTAGCCACTCGAATCACCACTTTCCTCAGGTCCTCGGGAAAGTCATTGGTCGTTTCCCATATCTGCACATACTCGCAGGCGGCATCTACAGAGTATGGCCAGATCCTACGGTCGATTCTCCTACAACTAGTTCGATCCGACACAGACCTAGTAGCCTACATCTTCGAGGAGTTCATCCTCAGTAAGAAAAGCGTCACTGCACAAGCCCTCGAGCGTCTCATCCTTGAGGTTATCGGTGCCGTTTCCAACAACCCCTCGCAGACCAAGTACGTCCACATCATCCTGGACGGGATAGATGAGTGCGACAAAGAGAAGCAGCTCAAGATCACCAACTTCCTTGAACGTATGCTATCCGCCACATTCACCTCGACCTCAACAATCTGCAAGGTTCTAGTCTCGACTCACATGCCGCCAACTGTGGCCAAGAAGTTGAAGCAGAAGCACGTGGTGTCGCTCTCGAGCGAGAAGGTGGCCTTGGGAAAGGCCATCGCGACCTATGCTGCTCAGAGGCTTGGTGCGCTGCGGTCGCGATGGTTTCAGATGGGAATCACGGATGCCGAACTCAAGGAGCTTGAGCTTCGGCTGGCCAAGAAAGCAGACGGTTTGTTATGATGGGACCCTATCCACGGGGAAAAAAACTAATCGAACTACAGGGATGTTTCTTTGGGCCCGACTGGTCTTGGAGTACCTAACAACCAACATGTTTGTCAAAAAGACCGAGGTCATGGACGCTGTCGACACTCTCCCTCGCAAGCTGAGTGAATTGTCTGTCTCCTTCTCAACGACTTCATGTGGATGCTTGGACTAACTCTATGCAGCTATGGACAGATCCTCACACAGCTCATTTCCCACTTCGACAAACGCTCGGTTACTCGCCTGCAGTCAATATTGGGCTGGATTGCCTTCGCCAAGAGGCCCCTCCGAAAAGCAGAGCTTCGCTCTGCTCTCTCATGTTCTGCTGAAGCGGAGGATGTCAATGTTCAGGAGCTATCTCCGAACTACTTGTTCGACATGTGTGCACCGCTCATCGAAGAGCGCAGTGACTCAACGTTTACTTTCATCCATGTCTCGGTGAAAGAGTGAGTTGTCCTGCGCCCATCTCACGAGCTCAGCGCTTATCTTATGCAACAGGTTCCTCCAAAGTCCAGAGAGCAATGTCTTCCTGGACGAGTTCAGCGCAGTCCACGAGCAGGGACTCGCCATCGCATCGTGCCTATTGTCAGGGCTTCAGATTTTCCAGCTTACTTACCCGGAACAAACTCGATTTCTCCGAGTGCTTCGGGGCTTCCACGGCCTGCATGTGTACGCCTCAGAATACTGGGTAGAGTATCTACTCTCTGTTGCTGCCTCTGAGAATGGCCTCGACACGGGCACGAGATTCTTCGCTCGGTCGCATGAGCTTTCTATGGCATTGAACTCACTGCACTCGACAGAGGACCAAGGGTTGGATCGGAAAGTGTTGGACGACCGGTTTCTTCACATTGAGAGCCATCCTGAGCTCTGGAATGCAACAGGCGTCATTGCATCAGAACGGGCAGTGAAGACCTTCAAAGCTGGCCAAACGAACGGTAAATGTCATCCCCAGGTGCCTCTCTGGCCGGCTGCCACACTAATCACCATAATGAACGTCAGATAGTCTCAGCGAGATCACAAGTCTATCTACGCTGTTGCTCAATTACCAGCACACAGTCCAGGCGCTCCTCCAACTGTGGAGTTTTCCAGGCGTCAGCATTCAGGAACTCGAAAAGTTCAAGCAAGACTTCCGGTCCACAGCCTTTACTTGCAGGTTCTGGTCCTGCCCGCTCGCCAGCACTGGGTTCGAGAGTGAAGCTCTTCGGGACGATCACGAATGGGCGCATGCCCCTCGCATGCCCTGCAAGATACCAGGTTGCCAGTACCCTCCGTTCACCTCCACTCAGGCTTTGAAGAACCACCTCGTCAAGTACCACGACCAGGGTAACCCCAAGATAAGGATCAGAACGCCACGGGACTCTGATAATATTTCGGTGCCGGCAGAGGTTCCTAGCCAGAAACGCCGTCGCCAGGAGATTATTGATAGAAGAACGATAAAGTCTAGACCTTCAGGAACCGTCGCCTCGACTCCCGGCCAGGCGCCGGCCTCGACTCTGCCACCAGCTGCTCCCCCACCAAAGACTCCGCAAGCCCAGAATGCGGGGCTGCCCGGACAGCCGGCCCACATACCAACTCACATCCCCCAAGCAGGGCCTCCTGGTAATGCGGGTCAGCAGATGCAGGTTCCACGGGTGCCTCAAAACCCTCAGGCTATCGCTATGATGAACGCGATGGACCTGCCACCCCAGGTTCTTGCACAACTGAGCCAAGTGCCTCCAGAGGTGAAGAAATGGGGAACATTGACGATGTGGCTTGGACAGAATAACGTCGCTCAGCATGTTCGCAACCAGCTTTCCACTATTCAACAAAAACAGTTCCAGCTTCTGCTCCAGAAGCGAAACTTTATCTCCCCTCAGCAGCAGCAACAGCAACAGCAACAGCAACAGCAGCAACAACAACAGCAGCAGCAACAACAACAGCAGCAGCAACAACAGCAGCAGCAACAACAGCAGCAGCAGCAACCGCAACAGCCACCTCAGCAGCCACCTCAACAGCCTCAGCAGGTCCAGAATCCCATCCTGAACCCTGGTATGCAGAGTGCTGGTGTCCCAGGAGCGAACGCCCAGCAGAATATGCAGAGACCGGTGCCAAATATTCCGGCCCACATCCTCCAAGTCTCTCCTCAAGAACTCATGCATGTTCGAAATCAAAGGCCGAACCTAGCAAATGTACCCGACGAGCAGCTGCAGATGATGGTGATGCAAATAAAAAGACAGATGTGGATAAAGCAGCAGCAAATGCGAGGGCGACAAGCCCAAGCCCGCACAGAAGGCCAAGGTCAACAGGGCGGACAGAACCAAATGCCAGTTCCTCAAGCCCCAATGCAGCTTCAACAACCATCACAGCAGCAACCCACACAGCCGATCCAGACTCCTCAACCTCAGAACATGCAGACACCCAACTCCATGAGCACGAACACTGCCATGCAAGCTGGCGCTCAGAAGCAACCTAACGCCACGCCGACCCCAGAGCAGATGCGAACCACCCGACCACAGCCTGCCAACAACCGGGCTCAGCCACCGAATCCCTCCCCCGCACCGGCTCCTAAGAACCTGAAACGTCCCAGCACGGATGAGAACGCCGATGCGACCGAAAATGTCAAGCCTGCCGCCCCAGCCCAGCCACCGTCTCAGCCTAATCAGCAGCAACAGCAACAGAAAGGTTTCCCCAACTTGACGCCGCAGCAAATTGCCCATCTCAGCCCCGAGCACCGAGCAAAGTACGAACAATATGTCAAGATGCAGATGGCGAGAGGGGCTGCACCTGGTGGTAACCAGGCGGACAGCAACTTGGCCCTCAATGCCGCTAACCTGGAGAAAAACACTCAAGCTCCGACCAAGGCAAACCAGAAGGCAGCCGGCAAGGGGAACCAAACTCCAGTTGCTCCCACCACTGCTCAGCCACCCTTCCAGTTTGGAGCTTCGTCCCCTCACGGCAACCCGAGCTACGTGGGCAAGCCCAAAGATATGAACCTCCAGATCCCGGCGCGGAAAAAACAGAAGGTGACTGGACAGACCCCACAGGGGGCCACCCCATCGCCGCAAATCAGCAAGAAGTCGTCACCCGAGATGAGGAGGGCTTCGGAGTCTCAAGCCCCTTCTCCCTCGGACCTAGAAGTAACCATTCCGACGCACGACGACGCTGAATCGGAGGCGTTCAGACCAGCTACTCCAACGATAAGTACGGCCAGAACAAGACGGTCACCACGCGAATCAACCAGGCTCCAGCCATTCAATGCCACACAGGGAGACGTTCCTGGCATACGCTTGGACGACACCGACGTCTTGCTACCATTGGGGGTGCGGGTGATGGAGACAAGCAAAGCAAACTAGGAGTTGACCATCCAGACACATTGAGCAGTATGGCCAATCTTGCTCCCCTCGTCAACCCGCCTCTCAACCCAGCCCTGGACCGATTCTGCTCCTCTCACGATGAACCCGCGAACCAGTCACTACAGGGCGGCCTCTCGCAGCGTCCGCCCAGTGTCGAAGAAAACGCTCCCCTCTTCGGCATCGGTTTGGACCCAGAGGAGTTTCTGCGGCGTTGGGGCGAGCAAGGCTCAGAGCCTTACCTCTCGTCGCGGCCTAATAACTCGCCCAACGAGTTTAACTATTATTACAATTGATCTCTCACTTAAGCTCAGCGCTTCCTCCATCCATCGACGTTTCCTGCCTTTGGACCTCATAGTAGAGGAGCATAGGACGCTCTTGCACAATCTTCACGTAGATTCTCTCCACATCGTGCCATGGAAAGCCCAACTCTTTTGCAATCAACTCCCACATCTGGGCCTTATGCCTCTGTACCTTTGTGAGCATCACCATTACAGAACCGTTAAATGACTGTACCTCTTATATTGTCTTGCTACTTCCTGTTTTTTTGGGTCGTCGAGAATCTTTTTCGAGATGAAGCGGTATCGTCTGCGGCAGCTGTCTTTAGTTCTACCTGGAAGCTTCGCCGAAAGAGATGGCCATTTCGAAGATTTGCATTTGCCCGTTAGTTCTAGAAGTTTGGCATCTTCTTCAGATCGCCACTTGTCTCCGCCCAGTCGAATGGAAATGTGGCTCTGAGGTCTCAAACGGGTCGCCATCGTAGAACTACCATCGAGCATGCTCTGCTATGAAGGACAATAGAACCTCTGTGTAGTACCGAGAGCAGACCAGATGAAGCGCGGGCATGTTTTTGGGTGGCTGGTCTACCGCATAGCTCTACCGCATAGCGAATCCCGTTTTCACTTCTGGCGTAAGCGATGTGGTGATGATTTGGCATGGCATTGGCGTGGTGGGGGCAAGTACCTTCGCCACTGGGCAGGGAGGACGCAACGGCCTGTTCTCGATGTTGGTGGCCTGCTGCTGTGGAACACCAACCGACTGCCGAGAAGCCTTCTTTGGCGTAAGGTCAGGCGGGACGCTTACAGTACATGCCTCGCCACGTACGCACCGCTCAGGAAATTTCAGCTCTGGGAGTGTTGCACAACAGCCCACGATTACATTGTTAATGGAAAGCAGTCCCTTGCTAATTATTACAGCAATCAACCGGGGGCCAAAGAGTACATGGGCACAGCCACCACCTTCACAGTATACGCAGCAGAGCTCAAGGGACTAGTATCGGCATGCATATACTACATTCAACAGTCATCACCCCCGGCAAGTGCGCCATATTCACCGACAGCCAGGCCGCCATCCAAGCGATACGGAACCCCAAGTGTCCGTCGGGGCAGTATCTCCTAGTGGAGGCTATCTAGCACTCGACGAGCTCTAAAGCCAAGGGTGGGAGGTGCAATGTGCCGACCGTCCCACGGCACGGATGCCACTGGAGTGTTGCGCAATGCGTCACGGCAGGCGGGCTTCATGCTGTCCCAGCATGGGTTGGGGTCAGGATTAAGAAGCGACAGCCACGACAGGCGGCCTCGAACCTTCTCTCTTCCCTACCTCAGATTAGAATTGGTTTGTTGGTGGGGATAGATCCGTGGGCGGTGGCGAGCCCGACCTGCATCGCGGTGAGCATAACGGCGAGTTGCGTCTGAGCTAGCCAACAAGATGAACTTGTCGTGAACGAAGTCGCTGTACCGGTTCCAGTGCGGCAAGCACCCGCGCAGCAGGTTCTGCCGGAGACAGTAGATCTTGCTTAGCCGGTTCAGACGCAACTCGCCGTGGTGGAACCGCGGGTCGATGTGCGGGCAGATGAACTCCGTATCCAGCTGCTCAACAAAGATCCTCCACCCAGGCCACGATATTTCCGGCGGGAGCAAGCGATTCTCCTTGGCGATGCGGAAGTCGCTCTCGTGGGATATCAACGCGGCGTAGGAGAACAGGAAGCCGAGCGCATGTTGCCGAATGTCTCGCCCGCGCTCCTGGGTGCATCCTTGGGCGTTGTCCTTGTCGCTGGAGCAGCCGCACTCCCTTCCGCGAGAGTATTTCGTCCAGAACTGAGGCTCAAGCAGGAAGCGCGGGATGGGCTTGAGGAACATCCGGCCTGTTGTCCAGACGAGATGCATATCCATACGCTCCGTGATGACGATCTCCCGACCGAGGACGAGCTGGTGGTGCAGAGGACGCGGCGGCATAAGCCGCCCCGCGACCCAGAGCCAGCTGTGAATGCTGGCCAGCCGCTGCAGGTCGAGCTCCTTCTCGACGCAGGGCGTGACTTGACGACCAGCAGCAGCCAAGTCACCGGACTCTGTGCGGTACGACGCGGGCAAGAGCAACAGGAGCTGGTCGTGGTCGTGTCGCGACGCGTCGGCGCCGTGCTCGTTCTCACGCTCGAGGAGCCGGATGGATGGGGGACTCTGTTAGCAGAATTGTTAGCTTGGACGGGTCAGCGACGGAGAGCACGGGTGGCGAATGCCCGACACGGCGGCATTCCGGTTTCGCCTCCGTCTTGAGAATTGCCAGCCATCTCCGGGCTGCCGAGAAGCGGGTCCCTGAATTGACGCGACTAGAGGCTGCTGTCTGCGATGGATTGGACTCGATACGTTCAGAAAAATGACACGGCGCAAGCACTCGACCTGGTGTTCAACCAGATCACATTTGGCGCGATACGCGGCGGCGAAGGCCCTTGGTCCACGAACCAGCAGTCAAGCATGATTGGTGAAGCGCGCGTGATTCTGCTGTGTCGTGGCGCATGAGACGATATCTATTGGGTGAGAGGTGCTCATTCAACTGCAAGTACGCGCTGGCGGTCGAGGAGGGGTGGCTTCGCTGGATCACTGATCACGCATTCCTGCCCGACTTTCCGTCTGCCCAACTCTGCCCAACAGCTTTGTCGGATGAGCAATGGCCATATTCTCGTGTCTTTTTCATAATCTTTGTGCCTCTCGGTGCTCACTCAATCATCGAGCATTGGCGCCGATCCTCAACTCCCCCAAGCCCCGCGATTAGAGGGGTTAGCTGCGCTGCTGCCTTGGCCGTGACGCTAGGGACCTTGGAAAGACGTGGCCGCTGCCCCCGCCAGATTCCTTTCCTGTTCCAAGTGCAGTGCTGACCATTTGACTCCAATGCGAAGTTGCGGCCAGAATGAACTCCGCCCTCGAATACGGTCAACTGCCAGAAAGTCGTCAATTTCGAGTTCGCCCTTCCGAGGATTACACCATAGAGAATGCCGAAGCGAAATTTCACATATGTGGATGATCAAGGCGCTGCAACTTGTGCCACAACGAGGAGGAAGCTAGCTTTTGATGCGAGAACACCAGCAGCCGACGCTCCTGAGCGAAAGGTAAATGATGACTACACCGTCGGGTGGATCTGCGCCATAAGGACGGAGTATGTTGCCGCACAAGAATTTCTCGACGAGGAGCACGAAGCACCGGAGTTTGTGTCACCAAACGATACCAACGACTACACATTGGGTAGACTTGGGAAGCATAACGTCGTCATCGCTGTGTTGCCCGATGGTGAATACGGAACGTCTTCCGCGGCCAGTGTAGCGACGAACATGCAGCACAGCTTTCCCAATGTCAGGATAGGTTTAATGGTCGGCATTGGCGGCGGTGCACCAAGTGAGAAGCACGACATTCGTCTGGGCGACATTGTGGTCAGCGCACCTCGTGACGGCGAGGGCGGGGTATTCCAGTACGACTTTGGCAAGACGATCCAGGACCAGGCCTTTCACAACACGCGATTTTTGAACCAGCCCCCGACAACTCTGCGAACTGCGTTGACGGGAATCCAGGCCCAGTACACGAGGAAGGGGCATCAGCTTCAAGCGGCCATCAACGACGTTCTCGAGAAGAACCCGAGGCTACGACGACAGGGATACGAGCGGCCGCAGCCAGGTACTGATAGGCTATTTAAAGCCGAGGTCCCTCACGACTCGAGAGGCTGCGCAGCATTCTGTGCTAATGAACCGTCGAATTTGGTGCCGCGGCACGAACGGACGGAACACGAGGATAATCCGGCAATTCACTATGGCCTGATCGCTTCAGCAAACCAGTTGATGAAGGACGCTTTCGTTCGGGATAGGCTTGTAACGGAGAAGGACGTTCTGTGTTTTGAAATGGAAGCAGCAGGGCTGATGAATCACTTTCCGTGTCTTGTTATTCGCGGTATATGCGACTACTCGGACTCGCACAAAAACAAGGAGTGGCAAGGATATGCAGCAATGGCGGCGGCTGCCTATGCGAAAGATCTTTTATATCGGATCCCCCCCAACAAGGTTGAGGCTGAGAAGAAGATTGGCGATATTCTATCCGGTAATTCCAAGGTCCTAGAATAATACGATCAATACATGTTAATCCTGTGTACAGGCCTCCATGAAGTTGCGGAAGAGCACCGGGACATTGCAAAGGAGCAGCTCCAAGCCCAGAAAGATCTAGCCAAGGAACAGTACCAAGCCCGCAACGATCTCGCCAAGGAGAGGCTGACCGAAAAGGAAGAGAAGTGTCACCAGCTGTTCCGCCTCAAAACTGACAGCAACGGTGCCGCCTACGAGTGGTATAAAGGCCGAGTGGAAGACCGAGTGGAAGGTACCTGCCAGTGGTTCCTCAAACATGACAATTTCCAGAAATGGTTGAAACAGGACTCAGGACCACTGCTGGTCTCAGCGGATCCTGGGTGTGGAAAGTCAGTCTTGGCCAAGCATCTGATCGACCATGTCTTGCCACGATCGGCGAGTATCTGTTACTTCTTCTTCAAGGACCAGGACCAGAACACGGTCCGCCAGGCACTTTGCGCTCTGCTCCACCAAATCTTCTCTCAAAAGCCGTCCCTGATTAACCATGCCATGGAGGAATTCCGTAAAGATGGGCAAGGTCTGATTCACTCGACAGAATCTCTCTGGAAGGTTCTACGAAACGCCACAAAAGATCCCCAGGCAGGACCTGTAATCATGGTCCTTGATGCCCTGGACGAATGTACCGAATCAGACTTTGAGGACCTGATGCGGAATGTGGAGAGCCAATTTCGCAGCGACCAATTGGGACATGGCAAGTTGAAGTATCTTCTAACGAGCCGTCCGTATGAGCAGATCGTGTCCAAGTTCCGCTGCCTGTTGGGCGCTTTTCCAAATATCCGTATACCAGGAGAGGAAGAGTTGGAAGCCATCAGTAAGGAGGTGAATCGCGTCATTACGCATCGGGTCAATCAGCTGTCGAAGAAGAAGACCCTCTCACCCGACGTCAAGAGCCATCTGGAGAAAAGACTACAGGGGACTACCCACCGCACCTATCTCTGGGTATACCTTGTGTTCGACTACTTAGAGAAAGAAGACTTTAAAAAGACACAAAGGGGGGTCGAGGCCACCATTGCAACACTTCCGACAAGTATCAATGAGGCGTATGAGCAAGTTCTTAGCAAGTCTAATGCTAAGGAACATCCAATGGTTCGGAAGGCCTTGAGTATCATCTTAGCCGCGAGTCGGCCGCTGACACTCTCGGAAATGAACGTTGCCGTGAATATAGACGCCACATCACAGTCTACGCACGACCTCGACTTGGAGGACGAAGAAGACTTCGGGTTGCGTCTCAGATCTTGGTGTGGATTATTCGTCTCAATCTATCATGGCAAGATTTATTTCCTTCATCAAACTGCTCGCGAGTTTCTCCTCGCAGATTTGGCATCGCCTACAACTGTTCCGTCAGAGCTACACTGGCATCACTCCATCACTACCCGCCACGCACACGCCGTTCTTGCAGAGCTCTGCGTGCGCTATCTGAACTTCTTTAACTCCGACGTTAGCCTTCCGACAGATGCGAATGTGGAAGCGGGCCACTCCGTCGATAGCCACGCCTTCTTAGATTACTCGGCCAAAACTTGGGGCGCTCACTTCCGCGAGGCCGGTATCATCGACGACGCTGCCCTTGCACCTTCCGCTCTGAGAATTTGTGATCCGGATTCGAAGAGCTACTCGGCATGGTTTAGAATCTATTGGAAGACTACAGGTATGGAGACTACCGAGTATTTTACGGATCTTATGGTAGCGTCGTACTGTGGCCATCGTGCCACCGTCAAGCTACTTCTCGAAAAGGGCGCCGACGTCGAGGCGAAGGACAAGGATTATGGTCGGACGCCGCTTTGGTGGGCCGCCGAGAAAGGGCACGAGGCCGTCGTCAAGCTGCTGCTCGACAAGGGCGCCGACGTCGAGGCGAAGGATAAGGTTCATGGCGGGACGCCGCTTTGGCGGGCCGCCGAGAACGGGCACGAGGCCGTCGTCAAGCTGCTGCTCGACAAGGGCGCCGACGTCGAGGCGAAGGATAAGGATTGTGGCGGGACGCCGCTTTGGTGGGCCGCCGAGAACGGGCACGAGGCCGTCGTCAAGCTGCTGCTCGACAAGGGCGCCGACGTCGAGGCGAAGGATAAGGATTGTGGCGGGACGCCGCTTTGGTGGGCCGCCGAGAACGGGCACGAGGCGGTGGCGCGGCTGCTGAGACCACCATGCCCACCTCCTGCTCCCCGCCCTCGCTTATATCCCTCGGAAGTGGCAAATCAATGCTAAACAAATGGAAGAATTTTTATTAGTCAACGTTTCTCGAATGCTGGAACTACTAGATCCTAGTGACAGCCTCCGATTCTAACTGGATTGATGCTCACGGCCACTGAATATGAGGAATCGGAAGACGCTCTGCCCAAGCTACACGTGTTGCGCATCGCACATGTCGGCTGAGCTGTTCTGACGTATCGAATGCGCTGCAGTAGTGATGGATCGTTTCTCTAGGTGGCAAATCGACGCCGAAACATATGATATTACGAGGAGATGTGCGCATGCTGCCGTAACCGACGAGGCATTGCCAAACGTGTGACATCTCAGGTAATAGGATGGCGACTTGGTTCCTGCTGGTGCTGCTCCAAGACGGCCTCGGACACGAAATCTTCCACTCCTTGACATGGGGTATGAGGAGCATCACGATATGCTGACCAGCATGAACAATCTTGCCTATACTTGGAAGCATCAAGGCGTTCTGGAGACGTGCTGGCTCTGATGAGGAAGTGCGTTCTTCATCGACGACTGCTTGGCCCAGGTCATCCATACACGACACAATCATTAGCAACTTTAGGTGAGTGGACGGAATTGGCCTCGCGAGTTTAAGGAACGTCAGCTTTAATTCTAGCTCATCTCATCTAAAATAAGCAATAATCTGATGCTCAAATAAGTCTGTACTGATAACCGAAGGAATAATGAAGTCGGATATTGAACCGTCTATACTAAAACCTAAAACGAAGACCGCCTATGATACACTTGTTGAGTGGCAACCAAGGTGCACAGTCATGTCCTCCACTAGTAGCAAGGACCTCAAGTGAAGCGTTAAGGCACGGTTCCGTGTACTCGCAGAGCATGGTTCTTGAGGTGCATTTTGTGGTCAAGTGACAGGTCGCAAACATGGCACTGGATCTTGTCGCCGTCCCGCAGATTCGACAAGTGTTTGCGTCGAAGGTGCTTAGTCAAGTCACCAGAAGTGTAGAACTCGTGGATGAGATCCCGGACAGCTCCATCATCACCCGCTAAGGTGAGTGCCTTGCCGACACATATGAAGCATCTTCTCGGTCTCTCCTGCTTTGTCTTGACGAAGACTGACATCAGCGCCACATATAGAGGGCTCTCGGCTGGAGGCTCGCCAACGGCGGCACGCCCGCTGGAGTAAGCTGACGACGTGTTTGTGCGGCGGACGGTTGGCCCTTCTTCGACGACGCAATACGCACTGACCGCGTTGATAGCGTTGTCTCTCCGCCGAAACTGGCCTTCGAGCGTGTCGCTAAGGGGAGCGGTGAGTGCTTCCACCAGTCGCTTTTGAGCCGGTCGCTGAGGTCGAGAGGACGTGTCCACGGCCGCCTGCTTAGCGAATCCAATACCTTGCAATTGTCGCTCAATGTCGTCAACCGCCTGCTCAGCAGTCCATTCGTCTCGGATCTGCTGCTTGAGTGCCCTCTTTAGGTTCTGTTTCTCGTTTCTCACCTTGCGGCGGGCCTCTTTGTATTTTTCCGACCCTTGACGTAGCCCTCGAAGACCTCGCTCCAATCGCTTGATCAGAGGATGAGTGTTCACCGATGCTGCCTGCTCAACTGTAAGGTCAGTCGGCCGCCGCTTGCTTATCGAGTGACCGACACTGCAGGCCTGTCTGATCAAGGCTTGCTGTGGCTTTTGTCCCCGGAGAATGCCCCATGTATCTGCACAGACCTCGCGTCCTAGGTAGTGCTTCTGAAAGGGGACCGAGTTTGCATGGTCCAGCGCAAGGTTCCGTAGTGACTCGCTGATATCGGCTGTATCCCTAGTTAGCAAAAGCGATTTGAATCAGGAAAGACCAGACACACCGCTTCGATCAAACTCGTTGGCTGCATTATAGCGCAGGTTGTATGGGATAGTAGGGTACTCTAGCCCCAAGATCTCACCGATCCTTCTGATCCACTGCGCCATCATCTGGTACGTGATAGGTTTGTCCTCGGAGATGTCAAACCCGATAAGGGTCTTGACGGCTCGACGGAAAATGTATTTGTCTTTTATATCGTCCCTTAGCGGCAGAGGTAGCTCCCGCTCCCCCGGATGGATATCGAGGTTCGCTAGCTGTTCCGGTGATGTGAGACTAGACGCTCGAAAAGCGAGATGGCGAAATAAAATCCCCAATAAGAAGGCATGAGGGCTAAGAAGCAAGGATGGGTCGTACAAGGTCTCGGGGAGTGTAAAGGTTTTCCTGGATACAACGTTAGCGCCGCATGTGCTAAATACGGGAGTTCCAGGCGTCCTTACGCGTCTTTGAGGCCGAGGTAAGTCTTCGTGAAGGCCAGAGTGAACCGAATTAGAATGTTATGCGGCCCGTCCTCTGGGTCTCTCGCCAACGCAAGTAGGACGTCTCCAAATCGCATACGCAGGATAGATGTGGGACGAGCTCCCGCGGGAGCGAGCAGGAGGAGAAAGAGAACGGCGAGAATACGGAGCTCGCCCAGTTTGAAAGATTTCTTTGTAGTGCTAATCGTCGTTTCGATCTGCTCCTTTAGGTCCTCGATCGTCATGCACCTGTTCACTCGTTTCTGGTCGCTCAGACCGTGCTTTTTGGCGAGTTCTCGAAGCACCTACAATGTCAGCGTCGTGTCAATCCTTCGCTGCGACTAGAGCATACCTTGTGCATGTGCCGATTCATCTTGGGGTCGAGCTTGTCCCCTATAGCTCTCTCAAAGACGAGGCGAAAGACTTTCCAGTATGTGCCCAACGAGCTGCTCGTTTTGGTTCCTCGCATCTTCCTGCCATCCTTGCCGACCTTTTGGTTGAGCCTCCAGTCAAAGAAGTTGTATAGCAACCGCAGAGAGCTGGACTTCGGGATGGACTCCAAACATTCCCGAGGGTCGCGCCGTAGAATCTTGCAGTACCTATAAGCAAAATGAGAGTAAATATTAGCGACAGGGGAAGAGAAGAAAGGCGTATGGGTGGTTACGTACTGGCGCCACTGCTCCTCACATGCGTCTAGAAGTAGTAGGCTGCCGTCACTGTAATCCTGGGTTTCATAGGCGGTATCGTTGAACTCTTCGATAGCTTGCCGATAATATCCAGGTGGATGGACATTGCCACCGAAGAGCTGGATCTGGTCTTCGACATCGACGTCGATACACCCAGTGTCGCCATCCAAGCCCAGGTCCTCGACGTCCGTTGCCTCCGTCTCCGCGTCCGAGCCGTCGGCTTCATTCCTGTCGAAGAGCTCATCGCTGTCGAATTCGTCCTCAGGGGAATACGACGCATCCGAATCGTCTGCGTTAGCGAAAAGGTCGTCTCGTCGTGTCATGGTGGACGTCTTGAGGAAGCAGTTAACGGAGTGGTGCTCTGCGCGGGTGGGTAAGAAGGTGCTGGTCTCTAAGCCTCGTCATCGGGGGTCCGTAAATAAGGTCATGAAAAAGCAGGCGCCTGAATCCAGTGTTCGCGTTCTGGCAGGGCCCCGGGCGGTGTCGCTTGATTGGTGGGGGTGAGGAACTCATTGTTTAAGGAAGTAACGTGAAAACAGAAATAGGTCGCTCCGTGCATCTCAAAAACCCGTCTTCTCCCTCCTACATCTCCTCCGATCCTGAACCTGCCATCCCGTCTGATCTCTGAAGCGGTCGGACGACGACATGAACGGGACGCTCCGACTGTCGAAATTACAAAAGCACAACACCACTTGTCCGCCCGTCCGAGGTTTCTGCCTCACAACGTCTGCATATCTTCTGCATGCTTCCGGAAGCTGGTATCTTTCTGCCTTGCCATTTCTCAGGCCGCCACCGACGCCTTGGGTGTTGGCTGCTGTACCGAACGGAACGCGAACCACCCCTAGACCATCCACCGGTTCGGATGACGACCCGGCCAGGCTGAAGAAACAACACAGTCGACCGAAAGAATAAACCATCATGCAGACCCGACATTGTGGGATTTGTCGACACCCTATCCTTTGGATGCAATAATTGGGTTGTAGTGGTTGGCCTGCATGATGGGGATCGACATCCCAGTCCCCGGGAAGCCGGATTAACAGGCCCACACGGACCCGAACGACTCGGGATCGTCGTCGAGGAGGGCCCACCACACCCCGACATGAGGGCGGCATCCATCATTCAAAAGTCGACAACGACGGCCAATTGAATCAACCGCCCTTGTATCACTCGATCTAATTTAACCTGCATTGGACAAACACCGACAGGTACAAACGCCGAAACGGGGGAGATAAGAGGCAAAGCTTGTGCATCACCGATAGACCTCCTGTTAGGAATGTCTGGATGACCTATGCCTATGTGTGCGATGGCGTCGGTTGGTCTCGACGACCCGATTGCCTGGGTCATGCCTTGGAATCTATCGATTCGATTCCCATTCGTTCGATGTCTGACCCTGGTCTTGAGGTTGGTATACCACGTTCGCAGGTCCCACCTTGCTCGACAAGAGCTCTGACGTAGGCCGTAGTCCACCGTCTCTGTGACCCAGCCTTTCAGCTTTTCACAATTGGCTTCTTGTTCCTTATATTCTCGATGATCTTGCTCGTAGACTCTCCATTCAAACGTGAACGAAGCCTTGTCCTCGGCCGTAAGTTCGGATACGTTTCGAGCACGGAGATACAGTAGCTGCTGAGTCATAAAGCGGCTGCAACCGAGGAGGAAATTGAACTGAACTGAACTGGATGGCATCGGGATCTGTTGGGGGATGTGTGGGAGAGACGACGAGGCGTCAACCCACCAAGCACCGGCTTCGGAAGCGGTGCCATCGGGACAAGCATGGCTGGCTGGGCTTACATAATCATGAGTGTTCGATTGAGGGTTAGCTCATGTTCATATCGTACAGAGTCGTGGAGAAGAGGTTGTACATCAACGTGTATGACAGGGTCTGCACCGGGTGTGGCCATTTCGCCAAGCATGAAACAGCTTCAGGTGCGCGCTGAGGTCCTTCGTCGCTAAGTGGGTGTTGAGGTTGGAGGAGAGATTTGCCTGAGGTTTTGTCCCTCAAGGATGGAGGGACGGTCGGATTTAATGCTGCAGGCCCCCCCTTGTATGTCACCCGAAGTAGGAGCCAATGATGCTTCATTTAGGTGTGGCGTTGTTGTCTCTCCTCTCATCGGGAGGATGTGCTCCACCAACAGACACACCAGGATCCGCGTGTCCCAGCCAATCAAGCGTTCTGTTTCTATGGAGACTGCGGCCTTGGCCAACACACAACCACTGCGAGGGGAGTCCTAAAATAGCCATTGGATCTTTCTTTATGGGCCTGTCTTCAGGAGCCGAAAAACAGCCACTGTCGCCTCGTGACCGACCGATAGCGTCGCCCCAATCCCATCTCGCTTTTGACTGCGTAGGTCGCGCAATCATCCCTCTGTTCACCCCTTTGTCTCTCCGACACGCGGCCTTGGGAGGATGTAACTCCAGTTGTTTACATGTAACACCTACTCCACTTCGACCGATCCACTGGCTTCATCGTTCGGACCAGGGTATAGAATTTCGAACGGCCGGCGATTTTGAAGAGCCTCGGAAAGCTCAGCATGCGGCTCGTCTCGCGTGCGACCGATTTGCACCCACACGTCCTCGTCTGACGATGGTCCTTCAGAGACCCACGCAGCCTGACTATTTATAAACGTTTGGGAATCGACAGGCGGAGGATAGAAAAAAGGCCTGGTCCCTTTGCACGCGCACGGGCTGGCGTGAACTGCTGTTCAATGTCCACTGAAGCATCGAACACCGAAGCGGGACGTGCCACGTGATTAGGTGTCATGCGTGGTTCTTGGAGATCCATGAGCCTCTTCCCCCCCGTCCCTAGGGACGATGCCCCGGTGAAGCCACCAAGCCCGACAGTCACTACGGGCGGCACGCTATCGTCTGTGTTGACCAGGGTGCGAAGATGGGAACCAGATGGTCTCCACGGCCACCGTCAAAGTGGCTGGCGGATCGCCAGCACCATGAAAAGCCATCATGAAGCGGCTTCTCTGCCCCTTGCCCGGTAGGCAGGGCGGTGTCTCTCCATGGCATTTCCGTGCTGCTTGTTATTTTTTGCATTTCTCGAGACGGATGTGCCAGGCGGGCAGTAGTGGGGTCACTCACCACTTATACTGAGGCATCGGGACGTAGCATTCTGGTCGTTGAAGAATCGGTCTCGTTTGGATGACTGGATAGGGGCGGGAGGGTGAGACATGGCTAATGTTGTGCCTTGGGTTGGGACACGAATGGCACTGTGCTGTCAGGCAGAAGAAACGAAACGAACTGATGGAGGAGCTCGGAGGAGCCCCGGGATTCAGCGGGCGAATGAACGATTGAGGGTTAGAGCTAACCGGGTCAGAAGAAGCACAGAGCACGAACATCGTGGACGGCGGAGGATGGGGGCACGAAGCACATTGACAAGCACAGAAGCTGGAGGCGGATGGATCATGATGGAGAACGGAGGGGCATCTGAGGCGGGCACGGGCACGGGCTCCCTTGGAGGAATCTAGTGGCGAAGAGCACAAGTGGCGAACATTGTGGAATTCGAATTGGCCAATCCAGGCCCTAGACAGCCTAGCTGCGGATCAGTGATCTGCGTCCGCAATTGTTGCGGTTCCGAAGTGGGGCTCCCCCGGGCCTCGATGGGCAAATTCCCACGATTTTCTTCACCAGGACTCCCCGGCTCTGGATCGAGCCGCCTGACCTTGCCTCACCTGGCCGCTCTGTTAGGACACACGGCTGGTAATTGGCATATGACGATATCTGATGGCCTCTGCGTTCAATTTCATCTTCATCTACTCCCCTCATCTCAATCAATCCTCATCACTTCCCCTCTCTCCCTCTGAACCCCTCCCTTTGTCCGGCCGCCCCTCCCGCCCTAACAGGCACTGCCGTCATCAGAATCTACTAGCGCGACATTAGAGCCAGACGCCAGTGTAGGGAGCTAGCTTTTCGGAGCACCTGTCCTCATGGTGGCCATTGTCCCATGGGACCCTCGCAAGCCTCGGAGCTCTGAGTTTTTTTTCTTTTTTCTCGTTGCTGTTGATCTGCCAATCAATGTCTCCGTATTAGCACAGGACTACGTAACGAGAGGCAACAAGGACAATAATGTCATTGGGATGTTGAGGCTGCCTATTGTGCCCACATTGTGCTGGACTTTTATCATGATTGTTTCATGATGACTCTTGCTTTTGCTGCTGCCTCTGCCGTGGTGACCTCTGTGAGTCAAGCCCGGAGATCTCATCTCTCCATCCAGCATTCCCTTGAATCCTACGACAACGCCGGACGCTAATACCTATAACAGAGCATGGGAGAAGTTTAACGGCCGCACTCAAATGATGAAACCCGGGGAGCACTGCATTGCTGAAAAGCCGACATGCCTGCCGACAATATTTCCACGCCAGTCGCCTTGCTGAAGAGTGAAAACCGGCACACGCGACATGCGTCATGGCGGGTGGAACTGGCATGTAAGCCCGGTACGGAAGGGACAAATGCATGTCCAATTGTCGAGGTGAACCAAGGATCATGAAGCACAATCATCCTCGACGGTTTGGGAGGTTCGACGGGTAGATGCAGAAGGCAGTTACTTATGTCCGTGTGTCAAAGGGGTTCCACGACGCGCATGTCGCCAAAGCGATCCATTGAGCGGAGTTCTTATCGATAAGCTAACCCATCTGAAGTAGCCCTGCATGCCGTCGGGTAAGCCGTGGGCCACTCATTCCTGGAGGGTCAGCGTGCTTTGGCACGCCAACTGCGCGTATCGCCAACCGTCGACACAGACCGTTTCAAGCGAGATGTTTGGCCCCGCCCCCGCATGAGCAAACGAGCGGCCAAGAAATCTGCGCCCAAGGCAAGCACGTGCGAGAGATTCACGCTGGCGTGAATCCGACCATGTTTGGATGCGCGCGTCGAGAACCCCAGGTGTGGCATCCAACTTGGGGACTTTCTGCCTCAGATCGGGACAAGTCGTTTCCGCCCCCGCACGAGCAAACCAGTGGCCGCAGTTGTAGGCAGGCACCTGAGACCCACATACCCTAGCGCAATCCAGCAGAAGGCTTCGTGGTAACAGAGGAGCAGATGCAAGAGTGTAATCCGTGCCCATCGTCAAAACGAAGTTTAGGGCCAACAGATTTGCGGTACGACTTCTTGGGTCTTAACTTCTATCCCTTTGAGTGCCGTAAGCCTCCACCTCCGTACCAGGCCCCACATGCCCCCCGCCAAGAGGGGCGACGCTTGGCTGATCTGGTACTCTCATCTCCGTTCAGTGATCATCGTACATAACTTGAGGATAAATCCAAAGACACTTATCATCCGACGTTACGTAGAAATACCATACTGGGCAATGTAGAGATTGCCAATCCGCACCTTTGTCGATGGCAGGGAGGCTAGAATAGTCCACATGCTTGCTTTCCCGACCGTGGCAGCAGAATTGACGTTGCCCGAAAGGGCCCTGCCGTGCGTGGCGGCGTTAGCGTGCACAGACTACAAAGTGCAGGGCAGAACTCTCGAGCGCGTAGCTCTGGAGCTGCGAGGGACGTGGACGACAATTACAGCTTGTATGTGCAGCTGTCGCGTTGCCGGACGCTGGACGGCATCATGCTCCTGTCCAAGGTGCGGGAGAGTGGGGGGCCGCTAGGCAGGCACACCAAAAGCCAATGCCGAAGGAAGCTGCATGCATACTCGGCCGAGATCCGAGATGGAGGTCATGGGCACAAGCAAGGTCCTGTGCAGAGCAGACGCCGAGAGCTCAACCTCTGCCATAGTCGCGCCTCTCAGGCCTCTCCAGCGCCCAATTGTCGCCGGCGCCAACGACCTGACTTCCCGAAGCATCATCACCCTTGACCTACTCCTGAAGGTCGAGCACGCCAACGGCAAGGTGGACACCGACATCGTCTCCATCGTCCAGAACGCCCCGCCTAGCGAGGTGACAACAGACCTCTGGAAGACGGCCAAGGGCAACATGACTCGTATGGAGAAATTAGGGCTCGCCTTTCATGCCGGCAACAGTGCCATTCGCATCAAGATCTCGTTCAACAAATCGACCTTCTCCAAAATTGGTCGTGCTGCGGTGATCATCGGTAGCGCGGTGCTTCATATTTGCCTGGACACTTGATCCGATTGAACGAGACAGCTAGGTCCGTACAAGATGGGCGGCATGGCACATGGACAGGAGGATGGAGGTATCTCGAGCTAGAGACTGCTTGTATATCTGCTCGTTTCCAGAACAGCAGTCTACGAAACCCTCACCTCCGCACGTAACCGTTCTTGATGCCTTAATGGTGGCGATTGTCTGTATTCCGCTAAGAGTTGGTCACCAGACTGGCGCCTCACAGGGGAAATAGCAGGCCAGTTTCCGCTTAAGGAATTATTCTAGAAGACTTAGTTGTGACACAAAGACAGTGACACCACAACAATGACAAGAGAGCTCGAAAAGCTTGTGTGAGCCGCTGTATAAAATATCCTCCCAACCCCGCATCGACTTTGGATGCCGTTACAATCCACTTTCAAGGCCCATTGATACAGTCCGCGGCTGCGTTGGGCTCCAGGAAGGAACATCCGACTCGGAGAATCATCAGGAGTCAAGATACCTACACAGCATCTCCATACCACCTCGTCCCTGAAGCACTTGCCGATAGCTTGGGAGGCCAATAGAATTGCAGAGTAATTGGATGTGCAGTTGCGCCAGGTCAATCGGAAGGGCTCTACGGTGTTGGGGGTGGAAAGTGCAAGACAAAGCGGCGGGCTGCCAGATCACGCGCGGGGTAGGTTGCCCCGGCCATCCAAGATAGATGTTTCAAGGGATTGTGCCACGGAAGCCGCACTAATTGCCTTTAAAGCGATGTAATAAGAAGTACAGCGGCCGCGAAGCGCATTCGTAAATGCGGGGTCACCCACTGTGTCAGCGCTGTTGCCTGCAATTAGCCGCCTACAACTCCTGTACTAAGGGGTGCGCTTCAGGGGATGGCGGGGAATCATGCAAAGGACATTAAGAGCGAAGAGATGGCGAGAGTGCGAGTCGGGAATGAGTGGAGCGATATTGTCGTGGCTCAGGGCAAGGTAGAGCGGATCGAGGGAGGAGAATGTACGGAAGCATGCACTAGTACCGAGCATGTAACGATGTTGGGGGCACGAGGCGCGGTTCCGGAGGTACCGTACTCTCAGAATGTGGCAGCGGCTACACATCGAGTCGGAGGGGTGGCAGCTACGGGTGGAGGGGGTGGAGAGGCGATGGAGGGGTCGTCGAAGGGAGCAGAAGGTAACCGACGAGTGAGGGTTGGGATGATGCCCGTTTTGGGAAATGGTCGGATGATCAGCCCGAAGACATCGCCAGCGCGGAGAGGTTTAGCATCAAAGGGGCGAGGTCGTGATCGCTGGATCGATGCGAGATGTGGCTCGCAACGAGCCGCAACAGAGTGCGGCGGGGGACGCGCTTGGCCCCTCTGGGATTCGGTGCGGCACAAGGTAGCCATGTAACTAGATCGGATCCGGGGCTCTGCAGAATTTGTCAGTCAGCGATTACCCCACCGGCGCTGTTTGAGGAAGGGAGACCCTTTGGAGCGAGGGCGACAAGAGAGGCCATCTGGCAGGTTTTGGGACTTGACTCGTTTTAGCAACTCGAACGCGAGAGAACGAGCCCTGGGGACCCATCGCGATGAGGCTGGTGTTGGCGATTGCGGGCCTGGTCTCCACCGTCATTGGCTACCGGTTGCGGGGAAGCTCGCAGCCTGTGTGGCCGCATGCCTCGTCCGCTCCGGCCGGCCGTGTGATTCGCGGAGCCGTGCGAGTTCCATACACTCGCGCGTGGAGGTGTGGAAGCGTAGAGGCTTGGAGGCGTGCAGCATCCGAGACACAGTTGGGTGGTTGCGCGCCCACGCCAAACTTGCGTGGGACCTAGGGGAGTTCGACAGCGGACAGGGAGGGGGAGGATGGTCCATCGGAGGGGGAGGATAACCAGAGCAACGCGGAGGGGTGTGGACGGGCGGACGGCTTGCAGTGTTTTGACTCTCGCGCTGCGCCAGCGGCCTGGGGGAAATGGGGAAATTGCCGCCCTGTCAGGTATTGCTCCATTGCGTTTTACAAGTACTCCAGAGCGGTACGTACTTGTGCACACCTGTCTACTACCTACCGTAGTATGCACGCTAATTCGTACCTTCGTACCTGTTGTCCTCCGTACTGGCGGCCCCTCGAGCGTACGCTGCAGCGGCCGTCGGCAGAGAACGTGACCCGGCGGCTATGGCTCTCGAGCGTGTACTGCAGCGGCTCCGTCACCGCATCCCAAATCTTGACCGTCATGTCGTAACCCGACGCGAGCCGCCAGCCGCCAGCCGCCAGCCGCCCGCCGCCCGCCGCCCGCCGCCCGCCGTCGACGGAGAATGCGACCGAGCCTTCTCTCCGATGTCCTCCTTCATAATGCCCCCCTTGATGCCCCTCCTTCTTGATGCCCCTCCTTCTTGATGCCCCTCCTTCTCGATGCCCCTCCTTCTCGATGCCCCTCCTTCTCGATGCCCCTCCTTCATGATGCCCCTCTGACGTAATTCCAGGAACAACTGTGCCTCGTGGCGAATGCAACAACACAACAGCCCTATCATGGGCAACAACCAGCAGCTCATGCACCTGACTCTGACCAGCCACAACGATGGAGAGCCAGTCAAAGGGCATCACAGGGCGACAGGCTGGCATACATAAACAGACGTTTTTCTCCTCAACAATTGTCGGTTCTCTTGCCTGTCCTCGACCGTCATGACACTCACCAGGTCAAAGACCGTCACACTTCCACGCCAAACAATCCGCCCCGTCTTCTGCAGCCCATTCCCACCCGCCTGGGAGTTGCCCAGCCACCATGCGTCAAAATTGTGGGTGTACAGGTTGTTTCGCCGCAGCCTGCCTGAGCAACGCATTCCTCGCGAACCCGCACAAGGCTAAGGAGTTCCTCCAGAACATCGTGCTCCAAGGCGACCCGGCACAAGAGTAAGTGCAATGCCCGGGGGACGGATTTGGAGCCAAACCTCTCCCATCACATGGGTTGCTATGGGACTCTGACAGCATCCCGAAGGAATAGCCCAGCCTCAGTCTTAGCTAGCATCGCCGGCGCGTATCTCGACAAGGAGGAGCTCGGAGAGGAGGGCTTGGAGGGTGAGAACCCCCTGCAACGCTTGGCCGGCTTGCTGGCAGAGCTGCTGCTTTGCAAGCACGGCGTCGCCGCCAACGACAGCACCCGGGACGGCGTCCGCGACCCCTCGACCAGCCGCGACGTGCACGTCATTAACCGAGACGAGATGTTCTCGCCGCTGAATGGCGCTGTCTTATTCAAGCTATGTGTCGACTTCTCCGAGGCTATCCTCAATAAGAACCCGATGACTCCGGTCGCCGAGCAGGAGATCAAGGACGGTCGAGTCCCATCCGGTACGTTCCAAGCTGTCAAATATCCACACACGTTTGTCTAACCATTGTGAGAAGGAGTCGTTAAGATCCTAGTCAAATACCCTGGACGTCACTATTCCGTTGGAACAGGCATCTTGATTAAGGATCGGGTGGTCGCAACAGTCGGCCATCTCCTTGTTGGCGAAGGGGGCCCTGCTATCGAAGTGATTGTCCTGGCAGGCGTGGGCGGTCCCGCTGGCTGCATTGAGCGCCGGGACGGCCACTACTTCGCCGCCCACCAAGCATGGTACGACGAAGGCACGGCGCCCAACGATTTGGCCTTTATTCTCCTCTATCAGCAGTTTGATACCGTCCACCCTCTCGACTACAAGACGACGCCGGCTACGGATAACACGTACGCGGTCATCTACGGCTATCCGGGCAAATTCCCCAAACATGCACAGGGCTCTCGGCTGGTCCAGAGCCAGTCCACCATCCGCTTCGACCCGACTCAGCCCTGGCGGATGGTAGAGCATGAGGCCGATACGATGAAGGGTGCGCATAAGATCGCGGCGAGGCTTCAAGTATCGGACTGTGCTGACGCTCATCCCAGGCCACTCCGGCAGTCCCGTCATTGACACCTCCGACGGAAAGGTTGTGGGCATTCATAGCCGCTGGACTTATAAGAACGAGGACAAGAAGGAGCTGGTAAACCAGGCCATCGCTATCAACCACCACGGCAACGATTTTGACGTCTTGCTCCAGATCCTCATCTACATCGGCAAGCAGCCCGAGGCTTACGCGAACATGAGAGGAGTTGGAGTCACCAAATTCGTGGTCAAGAAGGAGGCCCAAGACGTCATGGTCAAGGTGGTCGGACTCGCAAAGGAGGTCAAGTGGCTCAGACTCCAATGGTGAGCCTGGAAGATGAGTGAGCACTGATGCGACGGCCTCGTGACTATATTTTCTAGGACTTTGAATGAGATGGCTGCTGTATTAACAGTTTCTAATATGCGAATTGTTAAATGAGACGAAGTCTTCAACTTTTGCTACGTTGAGAGCTATGATGACTGAAAAAATTGAAAATAACTAATTGAAGTATGAAGACATGTTATTTGAATTCAGGCTCTATTTAGATTATAATTGATGTTGTTGTGCGATCGCGATGTTGACTGCATCGATGACCCGATTCAGTGGCGGTTGCCGGGGGGAGGGGGGGTGGCGGTTAGGTAGGGTCTGCATCTCCCACTCGTGTCCCTCGATGCAGCCCTCGAGACCAGCAAGCAGGGCCAATCGGGAGCTCGCCTCGTATATAGGCCTTCCATAATCACGAAGAATGACACGACGATGTATCCGATTCGGCAGTGTATGGCTGCCGGCCTGTGTTGGAGACGTAGAACAGGATCGCTTGCTGGGAGAACTGACAGGTGGATCGGATGCAACGGCGAGTCACTCGAATAGTTCGCGAGCAGGTTTTGAATGTCCCAAGGTAGTATGATGGGAAAAAGCGGCAAGATTATTGTTTGGAATGCTTGCAAGTGGAAGTGCTAGGGATATATCAGCATTGTAACTCGCTCATGAACGGCAATAACGTACAGCTTGCGCAAGATATTGCTCCGGCATTGTAACTCGAGGCTAGAATGGTAAAAGAGAATAAATCAAGATATATGCTGGGTGTGAGCACTCTAATATACTACTGCAACATAGGAAATTGTTCTAGGCGCCAACAAAGACCCCTGACAGTAGTGGTTGGCAACCATACTGACATTGCTGTCGATATCAGAGTGCTTGCTATTGAAACAGCCTAGTGTTGCCCGGCATAGAACCGTTTCGGCTCCTCCGAATGCTACCTCCCGTGGATACATGGGTATGGTGGTGGGTTGGGATAGGAACGAGGCAGCTCAAGATGTTAATCCTAGGCACCAACGGGCATCAACATCGAGACGCGGAGATTGCATCGGAGCTGTATGGTGGTCGGTGCCCACTCACACTTGTGCCACAGCTGAAGGACGTCTAAACAAGGGGCTTCAATCAGGGTTGCAACGAGAAATCGCTAGCAGTGATCCTGCCGTAAATGTCGTTCCAGCTGACGTCGTACTATGTAAGAAAATGTAGATTGGAATCAACGTCAGTGAATTGTCGGTACAGCTGCTAAACCCATCAAGTAACCCTAAGATATCATACCTCCCCCCCCGCGTGAGCTTTTTAACTCGGCAAATTCTAGTCTCGGGGGTATTGAAACTTGCCACACAATTATCAGAACCATAAAGCGAGAAACTGGTTTCTCTCACGCCAGTTCATGACCAATAATGATGGACTAGGCCTTGTTACTTTCTCCTTGCATGTGCGTTGGTCAAGATGAGGTGGGGACTAGGGTGGTCTCGGCCAAGCCAGCTCAGGCAAGGAGATGGATTCCTATACAGAGAGGTGGGTGCCTCCTTGTCACGGATATCGGCTATCCCGGGCTTGCTTAGACAGAAGCCTTGGAATGACGGACTCAGCGTCTAATTCAGCCTGCAGCTCGACGGTGGTGGGTTACAATATTCGTCACCTACCACCCTCTTGCAACAACACAACCATACTGAAAGGGCGGTATTTCCCTCAGGGCGCTGTTGGCTTGTAGTCGTCACCATTTCTCAGCATGACGGCCCGCTCGCTATTACTGTATGCCTCGTCCATGCGTCAAGGTGCTAGGCACACCTTTGCGCTCAGCAGCTTGTATTTTTAGACATCCCCGGCAAGACGTGCTGTGGCGACCAAGCCTCGATGGAACCAAGCAGATAGGCACGTTTTCGCGCTCGGAACCTTGCCATTCCGGATATTCTGTGCCGGGAAACAGCAAGCCCCGAGGTTGGGCGAGTAATGGGATTTGACGCCAAAGTGTGTTGGGATTGTGGGAGGGGGAATGTCTGATAGCCAAACAAGACAACTCTTTGGAAAGATATGCTAGCGGAATCATATGAGAAAGGAATCCAGAGAGTTCATTGCGACCATGTCAACCTTAAACCTCGAGGGGCCGAGAACCATTGTCAGTTGTGTTATCTGTCCCTGGGGGTGTTGGTGTAAACTGGATGTTGGGGAGGTGTGGAGTAGAGAGTGTGCCTCACCATCAGCAGCTCCCACCCTTGACCGGCAGAGCTGAGGCATATATCAATGATCACAAGACTGACTCTTGTCGTGCCGGTCTGGCGGACCAACAGCACGGAGAGACCGACGGGCCGGGGCAACGCCGACATGATCATGCCAAGCGAGGTGTGGTAGGAATCATTGGGTGAAGAACCTTCTAGCTGGTTCAGCCGGTTCAGGGGTCGGTGATATGTCTGGATGCTGTCATACGCCCAGGGATGTCAGACCGGCTTGCATGCAGCAGCACCTTAAGTGGTGAGGATGTCGTCATCAACGGGCTCGGGATGCAAAACAAAATGGCTGTGCGAGGAGGCTTGACCATCTTGCGGGTGCTACCTCATTGTCTCAAGTAGCATCGCCATATCATGATTCGTCGTGGTGCCCACTGCCAGTGGCTAGGATAAGAAACAAGCTGGGTTGCCCGGAGAGGGTCCTGCGAATCATCAACGAGTAGTCTGTCTGGACCAGCTATATAAGTAGCTGACCGACTCCTAAATGAAAGCCAAATATCAGCAAAGCTCCCTACTACCCTCCACATTCGTGCACGCTGTGAGAACCTGGTGCTTAACCCTTCACTCTTCTCATTGCCATATTTTTTAACATGCCTTTTCCCTTCAGATTGCTTTGTGATCTCCTCGAGGGGCTCGAGAGAAATGCCAGGAGGTCATCGAGCATCGACAGAATCCGGGAATGTGACACACTTACCATTCTTGCCTGGTTCAACAAACACAATGCAATCATTCCACGGCGAGGCCCAGAAGCCGTTTCATTCTTGTCGTGTCTCTTTCCCGAACGCAGACCAGACAGGGTCTTCGGTCTGCAAGAACGACAACTGGAAGGGGTTATACAACGCGCACAGTGTCTTGGATCATCCCGAATGAAGGATCTTCAGAGATGGAAAACCAGTGGCGGTTTAGACCTTGCGTCCTCCGTCGAGCGCGTGATGGCTACAACAGACTGCGAATCCAGAGCTGACCGAGAGGTAACTCTGGAAGAACTCGACGATGTCCTCGATCAGATTGCAGCCTCATCATCGTTCTCGTCCGCTAGCCTACGGGAAAGAGTTACAACGAAGCATGGCCGATCAATCCGTGCAGATGACTTGCTTTCGAAAGTATTCCGAGTCCTGCAGAGCTCGGAGACCAAATGGATGATTCGCATTATATCAAAGAATTACAGCCCAGCCCGCGTTCCAGAGACGCTGGTAATGAGCAGATTTCATTTTCTCCTGCCTGACCTCCTTCGCTTTCAAAATTCAATCCCAGCTGCTGTGGGGCTCCTAGACAGCCCGGCTATCCGGCATATGCCCATCCAGCCAGCGGTGGATACTTGCGATGAGCTAAAGGAAGTTGCCAGTAGGGAACTCGAGCCGCAGGCTGGGATAATGACGGCGCGTGCGACCTATGAAAAAGCAAGGAGCATCAGGCATTGCTGCCAATTGGCTGGGCCGAGACGGATGAGCGTGGAGAGGAAGTACGATGGAGAATACTGTCAAATCCATATCGACCTGAACAAATCCGGAGCCGGCATCAAGATTTTCTCCAAGAGTGGGAGAGACTCAACCAGCGACCGCATGGGAATTCATCGGGCACTGCGGGACAGCCTTGAGCTTGACACAGCAGGCTGCAAAATCAAGAAGCGGTGTATCCTGGAGGGCGAGCTGCTGGTATGGAACGATGACGAAGGGAGAATCGAGCCTTTCCACAAAATCCGCAGACATGTGAAACGATCGGGACGGTTTCTTGGAGCAGCTCTCGATTCGCCCGTCGAATCGAGCGAGCATCTCATGATCATGTTCTACGATATTCTATTACTGGACGACATCGTCTGCGGCTTAGAGACTCATGATGTACGGCGACGACGGCTTCAATCTTTGGTCCGCTGCATTCCGGGCCGGACCGACATAGGATCTCGCGAAGTAATTGAATTCTCGTCTTTCGACGCAGCGGAACGGCTCAGTGAGACATTCGCTCGAGCCATCACACAACGGTGGGAAGGATTTGTGCTCAAAGGTTGCGACGACCCCTACTTCTCATTCAACGGAAGCAAGCCATTCATCAAGCTCAAGAAAGATTACATTCCAGGCCTTGGTGACACCGCAGACTTCGCCATTATTGGGGGACGCCGCAACGCGAGAGATGAGCATGAGCTCGGCATTGGTAGCCTATGGTGGACGTCATTCTATATCGGGTGCGTCGAAAATAAGCACGAAGTCTGCCGCTTTAATGCCAAGCCGAGATTTCGCATAATCGATACGGTCGACAGACATGGCATCTCGAAAGAAAACATCACGTACCTCAACCGCCATGGATATTTCACACGAGCACCATTCGCCAAGTCTATGCCCGAGTTCGATGTCTTATTCGAGCCCGCACGGAGGCTGCAGCCAGTGGAGCTATTCAAGCATCCGTTTATTGTAGAAGTGGTTGGTGCTGGCTTCGACAAGCCCGCGAACGTTGGGTACTTTGCTCTGCGATTTCCACGAGTGTTGAAGGTTCATGAGGATCGCTCGTTCAGGGATACAATCAGTTTTGGGGAGCTGCAGGAGATGGCCCAAAGATGCCTAGAGGTACCGGATGGTGGAGAACAGGAAGAGAAAAGCTGGCTTAGGAGACTGCGAGGCTACGAGCACCTACTCGACAGGTCAAGGACCAGCTCTCCCAGTGACGACGCAGTTTCTGTCGCAGATATCTGTGAAGGCAGGCAAAGCAACCGACAACAGGAGAAGTTGAGGACGGCTGTTGAGTCCCAGTGCCTTGATAATATTTCCCTCCGGGCATCAAAGCGGAAGATGGCTCCAGAGGTTGCCTTGTATGGTAATTCAACCGTCAAGCGAGCAAAGCAGGAGTAAACGAAAGAATCGGTCATGTGAAGAGAAAGTGTCGCGAACTTTGGGCTCTGGATTCTGTACAGTACAGTACAGTGGTAACCGACAAATGTGTCGCAGTTGTTGAATGTTGCAAGACTTTCCGCACGGACCAACCCTTGTAGCGCAGTGTGGCTGATACCGTGCGCAGTGACAAACAGTGCGTACCTCTGAAGTGAGGGGCATAACAAAGCCAGAAACGGCTCTACGGGTGCACGCCAGGCAGCAAGGCCACAAATGCAACGCCAAACCGGGCCCCCCGTGCCAGGTGATGACAACTTTTCTCCAACAAAGCCATAACCGGCTTATTCTATCAGCGACCATGGCGTCACGGCTCAGTCTCTCCCAACATAATCAGATCGATGCTATGATTGAAAGCGGCTTGTCGACTAACGAGATAGTCAAATCTGTTGGCTGCTGCCGCCGCACAGTTCAGAGACAACGATTGAAACGACAAGGCCTTCCAACGACGAAAGCACCAGCGACCCCGTCGAACCCCTTGATCCGTGTCGGCCGAAGTAGCTACATTACACCATACATGCAAGAGATCCTACGTAAGCAGCTGCTACAGCAGTCGGATATGTTCCAATGTGAAATGACCGCCTTCCTCTATGACAAGACCAGAGGAGAAGTGTCGCTCTCCACCATGAGTCATTGGCTTATTTGCGGAACTTGCCGTGTGGCTGAGATTGGTGGTTGGGGTGGCTGCAGCATTTGGTTGGTTGGTTGGACTTGTTCTTGGATGAGCGTAAGGGTGAGACAGGAACCAGCGAACTACTCGGACCGCAGCCACCCAACGGACTCCGTATGCCATCAGGTCGACCAGGAAGTCTACAATATACAGGCATGATAATATCACGATAAGTGGAGGAATACGACCCAAAAATGGACTTGATTCGTTTCTCTGGTTTACTGTAGAAGAACAGATCTGATGCATAGTGAATGATTTCTATCTGTGTTTGGTTTGTAAGTCTAGTCGTGTTTCCAGAAATGGCTTCCCGCTGCGGTTCCGGTTACGCTGTTGTTGTGGTGGTGGTCGATGAGTCACCTCACCCACATAATGGCGTTCATAGCCTCGTCATTTTCAGCTAGGGAGGGGGTGCAAAGGGAGACAAGCGCTTTTTGACATGTGATGATTAGATCAGTCTCACTACTCGCTGATCCTCGCAAGATCACATGAAGAACACCGAGTGGGGTCGAATGAAACCTACGGAGTCGTAATCATACCACCCCATGAGTAGGATGTTTGAGGTAATCCAACTGAATGTGAGAAAACAGGATACAGTACACGAAAGCCTAATGAATGACAAGCGACTCCAAAATTTGCAGTTGTGGCGATTCAAGAACCACAGGCATGGAAAAGCGACGGTAAACTATTAACAGTCCCTATGGGGCACCCCCAATGGATCAAAATGGTGTAGAGAGCTATGGACTGCTACCCGCAAACCACCTCCGGGCAAGGAAGCGAAGGTCAGCCGAACAAGCACTTACACTGCTGCAGGAGCAGATCTACAAGGCATGGAGGGCCGGCAGGGTACTCAGTCTGATCAGTTTCGACGTTAAAGGTGCTTACAACGGAGTGTTCAAAGAGCGACTACTAGAGAGGCATACCTGGTGGACTGATAAATTGTGTGTGGATCCCCGTCGCTTGCGTTTTCGCTTTCGCGCGGTTTTGGACTGCTCATTCCCCAGACTTTACATTCCCATCCCTCCAAATATCGTCAACCGTGTTCACCAACGTCAGCCGCGGCGAATTCTTGTCACAGCTGTGACTTTGCTTCACCTCCCGTTTTCCTCGTCATCATCGGGAGCTCTCTGATTCTGTAAACCGTTGTCGCGTACTCCATGGGGCTATGGTCCCACATATTCCAAATTAATTTCCTTCCACCTGTCAAACTAGAAGCAACGAAGCCCCCCAAGAATTTGATCTTCATTATCAGGCTGAGATCTTCAGCTCCCTCTTCGCTGGCAACGCTAGGCGGGTTTTCTTCTAGACGAGCTTGCGGTATTTCGTCTTGTCTGCGCAGCCAAATCGGCGTACCGACATGTTTGTATCTCCTCTCCTCAGGATCGGTAGCGGGAATTGAGAGCTTCACCGCCTCTGTATATCTATTTGGTAGATTCGGAATCGGGTCAGAATCGAGCATAAATCGATAGCACTGGATATTGCGCCTCGTAAACTCTTCGACAAAGTGTTGGTTCCCAACCCTTGGAGAGCCCAGCGTGACGCAGGTAATGTCCTTGTCTGGCCACTTTATCTTGCACCATAGGGCGCACAAGGTCGCTAGAGCACCCCCAAGACTGTGACCGCAGATTTCAATCTTTTCGAAATCTTGCCTCGATGTGTCTCGCCGGAGTTGGTCGATGTAGCTTAGCCACCTGTCGTCCTGTAGAACATGGTTGAAAGCAAGCAAGAAGCCTTTGTGTACAAGCACGTTCGGAAGGTCCGCATCGGGCCAGTCAATTTTTGTCAAGCCGAAACTAATGTCTGTTATGGCGTTACCCGCAAATCCTAGCCATCGAGCTATTTTTTTGACGTTATCTATATTCATCGGCAAATCGGTTCCTCTGAATGCCAGGACAAGGGTATGGCCATTAAGAACACCTAGGTGGATGTGTGTATTAGAAGTAATAGCTCGTAGTCCTCTCTGAAAAAAAGGAACATGTATTTGAAGGTTTCGGCAGGCTAGAGGTTCTCCCTTTAGGTTGTCCCCCGCGTGCATTCGAAATTGAGTGCCGTGGGTGTTATGATATGCACAGTTGGCATAATGCACTAGGTGTGCGATCGATGAAACAATACGGTGGTTTGGATCTGCAGACATAGTTTCATCGCCGGAAGTCGGAATCACCAAAGGAATAAATCTGGTTTGCATTTGTACTTAGTCGGCTTGTGGCAGCCAGGGAGGCGCATACAATGGAATTTATACCGTTGTCCGGACTGCACGGGGAGCATCCACAGTAGTTATTTGATAAACGTCCAGGGTGGTTAAAGCGGTTGGGTATGAGAACTTCCAGGCAGCAATGTCTCAGCTAAATATAGTACTATCATACGACTATCACATGTACGAGCTTCCTATGTCTATGCGGGGCAGATGTGGCATGTCATTCATGTGAAACGTTATGTCATTCATGTGAACGTTATGCGTCATTCATGTGAACGTCATGTGCCATCCATGTGAACGTTATGCGTCATTCATGTGAACGTCATGTGCCATCCATGTGAACGTTATGCGTCATTCATGTGAACGTTATGCGTCATTCCGTACTGTCTATGGTCTACATATGGGAACCGTGCCATTGACATATATTAAACGGATAGTTCTTCCACACTGAAACATTTCCTCTCTCTGCGTTCTAGGCGGGACTAACCTTGATTCCTTACGACGCTAGCACCTGACTGCAACGAATCGCGATGGCGATGCCTCGATCCTTGTCCACTACGGCAAACGACAAACTCTACGAGATCTTAAAATCGATAGAACATCTGGTGCATTTCGCACACTGGGCATATTTGAACGATGACGGCGTTGAATTTCGAATGTACGCAGCGGAATTAAAAGGCTCTCTCAACGCGCGATATCTTCGAATAGAAACTCCATTTCGGAAAAGAGGATCGCTGCTCGCTCCTTCCACTACACACGTACACTTAGGCATTCGCACTAGCGATACTTTAGTCCTGGCATTTCCTGGATATATTTTCCCAATTGCTTGGGAGGATATCCTACAACCGACGCAATTCCGTGGATTCTTAGCTAATGTCTGGACAGACATTAGTTTCGGCTTGACAAAAATTGACTGGCTCGATGCGGACCTTCCGAATGTGTTTGTACACAAAGGCTTCTTGCTTGCTTTCAACAATTTTCTACAGGACGACAAGTTGCTAAGCTACATCAACCAACTCCGGCGAGACACATCGAGGCAAGATTTCGAAAAGATTGAAATCTGCGGCCACGGTCTTGGGGGTGCTCTAGCGACCTTGTGCGCCCTATGGTGCAAGATAAAGTGGCCAGACAAGGACATTACCTGCGTCACGCTGGGCTCTCCAAGGGTTGGGAACCAACACTTTGTCGAAGAGTTTACGAGGCGCAATATCCAGTGCTATCGATTTATGCTCGATTCTGACCCGATTCCGAATCTACCAAATAGATATACAGAGGCGGTGAAGCTCTCAATTCCCGCTACCGATCCTGAGGAGAGGAGATACAAACATGTCGGTACGCCGATTTGGCTGCGCAGACAAGACGAAATACCGCAAGCTCGTCTAGAAGAAAACCCGCCTAGCGTTGCCAGTGAAGAGAGAGCCAAGAATCTCACCGGACTCACTGAGATCGGATTACGTTTTCTGATGTTCTTTTATCAAATGTTTAGTGTCGCGCGAGTAGTATGGAAAGCCTGGTCACACAGTCCCATGGCGTACGCGACAGTCGTGCGGATGATCTTAGAGAGTGAAAGTAGGTTGCATGAAGTTCTATCTATTGTTCAATCTACTAAGAAGCATCAACAGAGACGGTTCTAGGGAAGGGCCGCGAAGCCATGGCCGGTGTTCTGAAAGACATCTTCCATCTGGCAAGATATGCCTGCTTGGCATATAAGGACGAGGCCGAGTTTCGATTGCTTAATTACGACCTGCATGAGCCTTCCCGAAAGCTCCAAATTGTGACTTCCTTCTGGGGAAACGCTGAGACGGCCATCGCCCCCCTGCAAGTGCATTTGGTTGTCCGCAGGGGCGACACTCTAGTCCTCGCATTTGGAGGAACCGATTTGCCGATGCGATATATGGGCGAGCGACTATGGGGCTTCTTGGAGACCCTTTGGACAAGCTTTCCCTTCGACTTGGCTATAATTGACTGGCCCGATGCGGACCTTCCGAACGTGCTTGTACACAAAGGCTTCTTGCTTGCTTTCAACAATTTTCTACAGGACGACAAGTTGCTAAGCTACATCAACCAACTCTGGCGAGACACATCGAGGCAAGATTTCGAAAAGATTGAAATCTGCGGCCACGGTCTTGGGGGTGCTCTAGCGACCTTGTGCGCCCTATGGTGCAAGATAAAGTGGCCAGACAAGGACATTACCTGCGTCACGCTGGGCTCTCCAAGGGTTGGGAACCAACACTTTGTCGAAGAGTTTACGAGGCGCAACATCCGGTGCTACCGGCTTGTGGAGCAATACGACCCGATTCCCACCGTGCCTGACAGATACAGCCAAGCTGTTTCCATTAAGATCCCGCCCTCCCATCCGGGCTTCAGCATCAGGAAGAGGAAATATCAGCATGCTGGCGAATCGCTGTCCCTGTGGCAACATGTTAGCGGGGAAATAATCCTACGGGATTTCGACCCGCCAGGCGTAAATGACGAAGAGATTGCTGGGGATCTCTCCATTCCGGTTGATATCGGACTACGTCTCGGGTGGTGGGCCCCTTACTGGATGTGGAGGGGACCGCGAATATTATGGAATCTTTGGCATCACAATCCCTCACACTACGCCAAAATGGTGTGGGGGGTCATGGACCAGGAAATGGACCAGGAAATGGACCAGGAAATGGAACAGGAAATGCACAGGGTCAGGAACAGGATCCTCAGGGCTTGATCTCAATGCTTAATTCATGATCTAAGTGGCGTCAACTAGTTCACCAGACAATATGGAAGGTACAGATGTGTTCCGAGAGTCGCGCGGCACGTATCCCTTTCTCACCATCGTTCTATGTTACTCTACCATATTGGGGCCATTTTTGATGTCTTCAATCTCATCAGTGAGACAAAAGCATGGTGGTGCTCTATTTAGTCTCGCGGGCGGTCCCAGTTTTGGTACTCCCGCCTTTCGCTCAGGCTCCAGAATTGGAACTGCTGCTCAATAAGGGCGCCGATATCACATATATCGGGATATCGGATTTCAACGGCTATTACGGCAGTGAAGCTTTTTCTTCTATCGTAGGCGTCCATCGCCACCTGCCTCGTCACCGGCCTAGCTTTTCCTTCATTCAGGTCAATAGCTAGATGAAGCCAAAGACCCCGAAGCATCCGGAGCGTCTCGGCTGTCCGAGGTCATCCGAGGTCATCACTTTCGTCTATAAGACTGACCCAAAGACCCTCATTAGATAGGAAGAATACCAAGAGCTTTTAACAGAAAAATCCCAGCCAATGAAGACTTCTTTACACTTGATCTCGGGTGGGGGAGGGTGAATTCGAAGTTCATGCACATGTGGCAAATGGGAGTGGGAGGATTTGTGGCAAATGAGAGTGGGAGGATTGGACCAATTAGGAGGTGCAGTTGCGCATGGCTTAATCGGGTAATTTTGCCGGGGGGGGGGCCAAATTTTGGGGTTGGAAATCCCAGAGCTTAAGAAGACCTTTCGTACCGAAAGGCACAAGGCACAAGGCAAAAAAAAAAAAAAAAAAAAACGCCCTTCGGGCTGAATTATTTGTGCACGGACGTCGCTCTGGAGAAGGCTACTGCACGTGACTAGTTGACATGTCGGACGCGCTAGTGGGTAGATACGGTCCGAGTTGATCTTTTCAAATGGGTATGAAATATGATGTGTTGAGCAGGCCTTGTTCAGGCCAATCAATTAATCCAATTCTCTGTGTGTTCAAGCTGTTCTTGTTGCTTGTGTGTGTGTGTGCGTTGGGTGCCCTCTTCTCCTTAGTCATCCCGGCTGGACCTCCCTCCTTCCTCTGAACATGACACGTCGGCTAGCGTAGGACTTGCCTTGCTAGCCGTAGCGTACTGGGTCCCCTGTTTCCTAGTGGCGACCGAACCATACACTCTCAGTCGATAAATCGTACACACTGGTAAATAGGTCTCACTCAAAGGTTGTTTAATTGTGAATGATGATTTCAATAAAGTTTGGCACTGCACTCAAAGGTAACCCTGACCCGCGAATAGCACCTAGGCTGTGATAATGGGAATTTAACAGCGTAGAATCATAGTTCAGTGTCGTACCAGTGTGATGGCAAGTGTGGTAGCTGCAGGTACGGTATGATAATCCGCCAGATTCTGGATCAGGGCGTGGCGAGAAGCACGCCGTTTCGAGTTGGCCCTGTGATACCCAATGTTAAACGAGAACACATGGCTGGGCTCGTGCTGTGCTGAATTCCTATCTCCAGATTTTGACTGAACCATCGAAAGGGATCATTAATGCCTGCCATGCCTGCTGTGCCCGCCGATCCAGACACCACGAAAACGACCTTGAATTCGCGCCAGAAATACTCGCAGCGAGCGTCTTCTTCTCTGTGCTTCTGTCATCGCATCTAGGAGCTCTGGGAGCTCTGGGTCTTCTATCTCGGGTGGCAAATGAGGCGCCATCTGGATCAAGTCGTCCATCGAGACGTGTGTGAGCGCCCCCGAACTGATGTTTGCCCAGCCATCCCAGAGAACGAGAAGATGCGAGTTTGGGTTGTGGTTGATGGCAATAATGTCAACGCCTTGCAGTCGGGAATAAATGGCTTGCAGTGTCGCCCCCCAATATTGACCTCCCCACTCCAAAGGGGTGATGCCTCGCAGGTTCTGCGCTCGGATGTCTGCGCCGCGCCGCAGAAGGAACTCGATCACTGATTTGGTCGAATCTTCGCCTTCAGTATCACGCCGCGTGGGGCGGCCGACGGCCCAGTGCAAGGGTGTCATGCGACCGCGCGATGCAACACCGAGCAGGTTGTTAGTGCCCAGCTCAAGTAAACACTGGAGAGCTTCAATATTCCAGGAATAGAATACTGCCAGGTGCAGCGGCGTCAAACCTGTGATATTTTGGGCATGGGGGTCCGCTCCCCGAGCGACGAGGAATTCGATGATGCCTTTCTGACAGAAGTAGCTACTTCTGCACGCCCAGTGCAGTGCGGTGAAGCCGTAGTTGTCTCTCGAGGACGCGCTGACGCCATTGTCGATGAGATAGCCACATATGGCCAAACACACTCCTATTGCCGGTTGGTATGGCTGCGAACCGTTAAACCCTCCGACGTTGTATGCGAAGACTGCATGGAGGGCAGTCATGCCAAAATGATTCCGGTCCTGGAAAATAGATCGATCTCTGGCCAAGTGGTCGAGACTTTCTCGATCGCCGTTCAGAAAGGCAGCGATGAGCGCCTTGACCAACTCCTGCGTCCTACTCCGTCTGAGTCTGAGCACCGTCTCAACCATATTTGGTCGTCCGCTCCAGGCTGAATCGGCAATGACATCCTTGTACTGTTCACCCTCCAGTGAAGATATGTTGAAAGCCTCTCGCAGGATGCCCAAACAGCCCTCATGGCCACCTTGAATGGCGAGTTTGATGGCATTTTCAGCGAATCGCTCCATGCTGCGCAGAGATGAGCTTACTTCTGGCGTATTGATGTACGCACGCAGGAAGGGGTCCAGGCCAAGTGCACTTAAAACCTCGAGAGGGGTCAGGTTTTGGACGAGACTCTTACGCTTTAGATCGAAACCAAGCTGAGCAATCATAGTCTCTCGGAAGCCCCGTGTTGATGGCCTGTCTCTCCAAATCTGCACAATATCTCTCACTGCCAAAAGGATATCTTCGTCAATCTCGCCAAAGGCGGTAGTCGGTGGAACAGCTTCCTGAAGATGCTTAAGCCAGAACTGCACGGCATATGAAAGAAAGACATGCTGAGTAAGGATGAGTTGAGTCTTGCTGTAGTTGTCGGTCCACGGTTCGGGTCTTGGCATTGCCAACTTGTAGAGGATTGTCTTCATGCAGAGGAGAGCCAGGTTGCGATGGGCCTTTTCAGGGCTCTCAACAAAGAAGTCGGTTCTCTTCACGGCACGGTGTATGATGAAATCCCGAATAGAGTCATGAAAGAATGAGACCGATCCATCTTGCCCGATTTTGAGCACTGGAAAGTACTTCTCAGCTCTAGCCGTGAAACGGTTGACATCCTCGTCGTCCAATGGGTTTTTTTGTTCGGCTCGGAAGGGGGCGTTTTGTTCGAGCCCCTTTTCTTCCCATCGACACGCAAAGGCCAATTCCCGGATTGTTAACGTCCTATAACTGTGAGTGATGAACGTCATGAGCGGGGAGCGTGTCGTCAAAATCGGAGAAGAAAGTTGCTCAACAAGGTTCGTGTAGAAGGAGGTGAGGTTTTGTGAAACGCTCTGCAGAACCTCGTGGAGTCGTTCGGGTGCGGAGATCTGCAGTTGCTTGAAGTAGAGTGTGACTGGGAGGAAGCTTTTGGACCCGTAGGCAGCGAGCTGTTGCTCGATGAGCTTCATCTCATCGCGCGAGTATCCTTGGACTCCGACAATCCTAGCCATTTCGTCCCGGACAAAGCGGTCGATATCCTCGTTGATTCTAGCCTCGTATTTCATTGTTTCCATGGGCTTCAGTGCATCCGGGCAACCTGCGAGCCATTTTGACTGCAATATGGCGACATGGTTGCTTGGTTGGCTTGTAATGAAGATCTTGAGTTGAGTCCTGGACTTGGAAGGGTCTCTGAGTTTCATGTAGAACAGGCCCATCAGTTTTATTCGCGCATCTTCGTCGAGCACGTCGAGCGCGTCAATGATAAAAAAGACTTTCTCGAGGTGGGAGTGGCTAACCAATTGCCAGAGGAGATCCCAAAGTATCGAAGCTGACCTATTCTTGCCCTTCATAATGCGGTTGTACGAGTCCCCCAAACACTGGAACATGTCCTGTCGGAAGGCAAACCGTCGCAGGGCATCAAATTTATGCAGCATCTGATAGATCGCAATAGACAGAATCATACTTGGCGTGTAGTTCTTTTGGCGGTGGCAGAAGCCGTAAATAACCGTAGACTTTGGGTTGTTACCCTCGCTCTCCCCCCTCTGGAGCTTCTCGACTAGATAGCTAGCCAAGGTGGACTTCCCAATGCCGGGATGACCAGTAAGCCAAAGAATGCGCGACTTGTCGCCTTCGGCCCACCACTTCATTTCGTCGGTGTCGAAAATCCAGTCGCACGTGCCTGGATACCTGGATTGGCTGACTTCCTCGAATGCACCTACATAGTCGTAGTGCTTGAATGACTTCATGAAAGTCGGCAAAATCCAATCTGGCTCCGACAGCTCAGTCGCGGGAGTTGCGTTCGGATTTCCCTGATGCGCGGTTCGAACTAGGGCTAGAACGGACATAACCGCAGATGGGCTCGGCATCGGGAGATCCTTCTCGCTCTCGGCAATGCTCTCGCGACGCAAAGGCATCGGGTTATCGCGGCCTTGATACGCATTGTGAGAATGGTCATGACGAGTGTCTACGCAAGGAGGGAAGTTAGTGACCAGGACCAAAGACAAGAAGGAATGAGAATAAATTAGCTATCAGATACGACTACAGTAGTTTTGCATCACTGTACCTAACTGCAAGCCATCAAGAGGGACCCCAAAGTCATGCACTTCCTTACCCACCTCTGCTTAGTGTAGGGAGAGGAGTATCGGGGCTATTATTTAGAGCGGCCTCGTGGAGTTTTCGAAGACCATGACGGACTTTTTTGTAACGTTGACTGTCCGATAGGTCGCGCGTATCGAAGCGACATATGTCGCCGTGATTCGCCTCTATTTTGACCTGGGTCTCGATGTCTCCGGGCATATCAAGCACTGCTGAGTCGCGAGGAACAATCTTCAAGGCCGTTAGTAATGGAGGGAACGTCGCTACAGTACGGGTTACGCACATTTCCAATGCCCTCGTAGAAGGATACGATACGGTAGTTGTTCAGCTGATGTCTCCATCCTTCTTGCAAGATGTCCGAGTATAATGAGCCGGATGTGACAGCTTCCATCAGATCGTTCGGGGCGGACATGGTGACGAAGTTGACAACAGCTGCACATTTTTTCCCGAATGATACAAGTGTCTCGTTGCCACCCCCATGAGGAGTGGCGAAGAAAGCCAGTCCGCGCCTGTCTTTTTGTCAGCGGTACCGTAGATGCACTGAGAGGCGTGACCTGACGTTGACTGCTTGATGTTGGAATAACTCGGATCATTGTTTGCGTTGACGAGCGCCTGTGAGTGTCAGATTGATTCGACAAGCGCAGAAAGCAATAGACAACCTGCTTAACCAATATTCCGCCCAAGCTATGCGCGATGAATATGATGGGTCGTTCGGGACACTGGGTCAGGGTTATCAGCCCTCAGGCTCTCGGTCATCCAACGAGGGAGGCGCACATCGAATCGATCCACGTCGAGGCAATACAGCAGGTCGCTGGCTTCGTGGGTAAGTCGCGTCTTGGTACTCGTCAAGACGGGGATAGAATCGTATTCATAAATGAATACTCGAGCGGAGGGCAAGTCCGTGGGAAGATCGTCCTGGAGCCATAGTCGGTCCCCAGTCGATGATCTCTTCGTCCACGTAAAAGTTGCATGATCCCGCCTGCCCCTGGGGTTGAGGCCATGGACTGCTACGATGCTAGCATCACGTTAACATTACCAGCTACAAAGGTGGGATGATGGTGACTAACTCCAAGTTTGGAGTCCCAGTCCCGTTGGGACCGGTGCCGGGAGCGAGCTCCTTGAGTGGCTGGTGGGTATCAATTAGCAGAGTATCTACCCGAGTCCACCAGTAGCAGGGCCGTACCATTTTGGCGGCGATCTCGCAGGCCGGTAGCGGAAATCAGCGCTCGAAGATATGAACTGGGTGAGCAGTTATTAAGAGAGCAGAATTGAAGTCCGATAATTTTAACGGTGGTGGTGTTTATTTACCCTACCTGATCCCGTCTCCCCCTCCCTCCGTCTACCTCGCAGCCTCCTCAGTCGAGAACCCGGTCGATGGACCCACCCTGTGTCCGTATCCCCGACTTGTGATTGGCCCCGATAAGAGCTGAGCGAGGGGCATCTTGACGGCGTGTGCTCACCTTGCATATGGAGGGCGCCTCAAAATGTGGTCGGCGAATCACATCAATATATGTGCCAATTCCGACGTCGCCAAGCCGTTCTCGTTCAGGAGGTTGAAACACCCGCGCCACGCAATAAGGTTGATGCCTGTTGGTGACCGAACTATATTCCTCAAACTTGATCCGAAGCCGAACAATGGACTTCGGGAGAGACAGGCCACATTCGTCGCCACGTTAGCCTGGGTCAAGCTGCGTCGGACTGCCGGCTACTCACACTCGCGCCTCGAGTTGGGGGCCGAGACCTTGAACTGATCATTCCGTCGTCGAAATTACTTATTCTGCCTTAGTTCTCCTGCACGGGCTTGAACGAGACACCCATCATCACATAACCCCCCACCACCCACCTCTACGGTGGCTAACCACGGTAATTGGAGGGCGGAATTTACAATTCATCCAACCAGCCGGCCCCCTTTCATCACCTTTCCCACCCCCTCAGGCCTCCCAACGAACCACCCTTCGAAGAGATGGATGCACACAATTGTGTGAACGGCAGGTTAACCTCGAGCCAGCGTTGCGTGGCCAACCGTCCGCCGCCAGGAGACTCAGCCACCTGGCTGTTTCCGCAGTTTCCACATTTTGGCTCGAGCCTGATAAGAGTACAGTACATTCCCTGAATTTTTGTCAGTGTGGTACATCGGCGCCTCGAGACTGGTCAAGAAGGCGCGGCGTTCATAAGGAGCCCGCCAACAGAGCCTGAAGAAGGCTGTGCTGTTGAGATAGAGTAAAACAGAGAAATAAACAATGCTTGATTTTGTGTGGGCCTTTGCGTTCCTCCACACGATGGCACTCGGGGATCAAAACCGCACACACTGGCGGTGGAGGTGTTGCGTGCTACAGGACTGGAAGCTTGGGACGTCTCTCATTGTCGATGTTTAGGAATGACGTTGGCGCTGGGTTGCAACCGCCCAATGTCAAGATGCACCATTAACAGTGGAGCACTTGGTAGCCACTGTTTCCCGAGCATCGGCATGCAGCCACACCGCCCCTCCGCTGCTCGGTCTGAAATTGGCTGGGAAGCCATTTGGGTTGCATAACTTTGTCAGCGAATTTTGGGCACGGTGACCAGCCCAGGACATTTGAAAAATAGGCCTAGTTTTGGGGCTCTATGATCCTGGAAAACGGGCCAAAATTTATGATGTGCGAAGTAGTGAGTCGGTTTCTGGAATGTTTTAGTCAGGATCAGGAAAAGCACACGTGTCAACTAGTCACGTGCAGTAGCCTCCATCAAAGTCCGTGCAGGGCACTTGATTGGTCGACCCATTTTAATGTTTTCGAAATATTAAACTGAGCTGAGGTACAAATACCCGCCTCATGCACTGTTCGCTAACTATGTATCAGGAGCAAGCTTATCCGTTGGCTATTAGGAGAACGCCAGCGAGCTTCCAGCAGTCCCAGATTATCACACCCCTATCACCTACGCCCAGTTCAATCACTAGCCAGCGGGACTCAGAGGAGGACGAAGATGACAAACAAGATGAGGGAATGGAGAATAAAAGAACAAGAGGAGACATCACCAACGCAGACCGCTGAAATAAGAGGCAGGAATAGCTCGTAAGTCTAGTGCCTCTAGTCAGTAAAACGCTTTGAATCTATTATATTTTGCTCTCTATGCTAGTATCCAAAATGCCGGGGCGCCTGCACAGCCCTCTTGCAAAAGTTTTAGACTATTCTAAATCGAGGGAACTCTTAGGATACCGTACCATGAACCCTCATGGCATGGTTCTGTACATGCATCTTATGCTGTAGGTCTAGGTCACAAACCTCACACCGAGAGGGAGTATTATCAGGCAGCTGATCAAGATGCCTTCGGCGGAAGTGCTTCGACAGGTCACTGGAAGTGTAAAACTCATGGGTGAGCTCGCTCACACGAGGGTCGTTTGGTTCAAGAGAGAGTGCAGCACCGATGCACAGAAAACATCTCCTCGGCCTCTCCTTCTCGTTTTTGACGAATACAGAGAGTACGGCGATACCCACAGGGCTATCTTCCGATGGGCCACAATGAGAACTGGACAGCGGCTCCTTCGCTGCCGAGACGTTGGTTCGACGTGCGGTACGGCCTTCTACCACGCTGCAGTAAGCGACGATGGCGTCGATGAGGTTGTCCCTGCGTCTATAATATCCCTCGAGAGTGTTATCGACTGGGGCGGTCAGCGCTTCAACTAGGCGCTTCTGTGCTGGACGCTGAGGGGGACAGGTTGCATCTACGGCCATGGGTTTGGAGAACCCGCGGCCCTGGAGTTGGGATTGGATATCATCCACAGCCTGCTCATCGGTCCAGGCGTCTTTGATTCGTTGTAATAACTCCCTCTTTTGCCTCTGCTTCTCATTCCTTAGCGTTCGAACGGCGTCCTGGCGTTTCTTCGATCCAGGTGGCAGTCGTCGGACCTGTTCCGTTAGCTTCCTGATGCAAGCGTATGTATTGACAGATGCAGCTTGCTCTGCCGTCAAATCGGTCGGCCGCCGCTTGCTGTTCGCATGCCCGATGCTACAAGCCTGCTTCAGCAGCGCCTGTTGCGGTCTCTGGCCCCGGATGATCGCCCAGGTATCTAGGCGTAGTTGGCGTCCGAGGTAATGCTTCTGGAACGGAACTGAACTGTCGTGGTCGAGCGCTAAGTTGCGGATAGCATCGCTAGCATAGGCTGCAAGGGGTCAGCTTGGGTAGCAGTCAACAGGTAATCGTGAAACTTACGGCTTCCGTCGAGCTCGTTGCCAGCGTTGTAGCGCAGGCTATAGCAGATGGTAGTATACAGTCGGCCTAATATTTCTCCAATTCTCTTAATCCATGCCGCCATCATGCCATACGTGATGGGTTCTGTCAGTGACATATCGAAGCCGGTAGCGGTTTTGACGGCACGGCGGAACAAGGGTACGTCATCCAAGTCATCTCGGAGTGGCAAACGCAACTCCCGCTCGTCAGGGTGGATGTCCAAGTTGTCCAGCTGCGCAGCTGAGACGAGGTTAGATGCCCGAAAGGCTTGATGCCGGAACAAGATGCCCAAGAGGAAGGCATGGGGGCTAAGAAGTAAGGTTGGATCAAACATTGTCTCGGGGACGGTAAATGTCTTGCTGTTACAGGTCAGCATCCTCCATATCAAGGTAGACCAGTTCGTCAGATAGATATCACCTACGCGTCCTTGGTACCGAGGTACGTCTTGGTAAACTCCGGCGTGAACTGGATAAGAAGTTTGTGGGGTCCTCCTTCGGGGTCTCTTGCCAATACAACTCGAATGTCTCTAAACCGGAGCCGCAAGATAGCCAGGGGACGAGCACCAGCAGGAGCAAGCAGGAGAAGGAATAAAACCGCAAGAATTCGGAGCTCTCCGAGATCAAACGACTTTCTCGTCGTACTCACCGTTATTTCAATTTGCTCCTTGAGGTCATCAATCGTCATACAGCGGTTCTCCCTCTTCTTTGTGCTCAGGTCATGATCCTTTGCCAGCTTTCGAAGGACCTGCGGTCGTTAGAGAATAATGGGCTGTAGTAGGCTCGGAGACATACCCTATGCATCTGACGATTCATTTTCGGGTCGAGCTTTGCACCCACGCCCTCTCATATACAAGTCGGAAGACCTTCCATGTTGTGCCCAGTGCGCTGCTTGTTTTGATGCCCTTCATCTTCCTATCATCCTTGCCAGTCTTCAGGTCTAGGCGCCATGTGAAGAAGCTTGCGAGTATACCGACGGAAATGATTGGAGGCATTCATGGGGATTGCCAAATTTGTTCTTATTGCAGAAGCTAGAGTTGTAGACAGCATCGTTAGCAGAGCCAAGTTAGATGGATTTCTGGGACATTACAGCTGCCATGTTCCTCAACCGCGTTGAGAGTTTCTCAGTCCCAGGGACTGTAGTCTTGACCGTCAAGAGCACCCTCATTGACCTCTGCCGCTATCCGCTGGTAATACTCTGGAGGGTGGACGTTGTTAAGGAGCTGAGTAAGATCATCGACGTCAACATGGTCTCAACATCATCAAAGGGGTTGACTCGGTGATGTCGGTCTCTGCGTCAGACACTTCATCTTCGTTCACGTCAAAGACTGTGTCATCCTCGGGCGAGAACGATGCGTCTGAATCGTCTGCACCGTCAAATAAACGCTGGTGGCGCGGCATGTTAAGGAGGTTCGAAGATGTAGATAAGAGGATCTTGGATCGTGGAGACGATGCGAGTAGCGGCTGAGTGAAGCCGATGCTGCCTCGTTTCTTAGAGAAAGAAAGAGAGGGAAGGAGGTGAGCACGCTGCCCTCCGCGGGAGCGGGGGCTGCTATTAATAGTCGAGGGAGCCATTTCTGCTCTGTTGCTGACAGTAATACATTCTGGACGAGGGCCCAATTCAGGGCACTGGCTCGGTGGAGCAAAATTATTTTGGGTGGTACATTGGGGGTACACTACCAGCAACACCAATGTGGATCGAGCCCGGGTGGACCTTTAAAGCGGCGACGAATTGCTGGCAAAATCGCCGCCATGTGTGGAGGCAGAACCTGCCAAATTTGGCGGCAAATATGCCGTCTCATTGTTAAAGGTAGAATTATAAAATATAAAAAAGTTAATAATTAACTACTATAAGAACTAGAGTAAATCCAGGTTAAAGAAAATTAAAATAGCCTATAAAATTATAAATTATATTTTATACTAAAAGAAAAGCTTTATAAATTCTATAAAAACCTTCTATTTCTTATAAAAAAGCTTAGAAGTTTTATTAGATATATTTTTAAAAATAATAGTTAAAAATAAATTAATAAATACTTAGTTATTATTTAAGATAGATAATTAAACTAGTAAAATAAATTAAATCTTATTTAAATAAATAAAATAAATTAATTAAATATAACTTAGCTTAGTTTTTTAAATATTCTTATAATATAGCTAATAGTAATTAAAAAACTTATTATTATAGTTAAAATAACTAAGGGGTAGATATAATATAAATATATAAATAAAAGAAGAAAAGCTATATAAATTAATATAAAAAGATAGTTTTTCTTATAATAAGTATAAAACTAAAATTAAATACCTATTAATACTCTTAATAAGAAGCTATTATTTTTAATTAGATATTTTTATAATTTCTTAAGCTTAATATTAAATTTTAATAATTTTCCTATTAAATTATTATTATATCTCTACTATATCTAAACTTTCTTAAAAGGAAAAAAAAATACCTAAATTTTACTTTCTTTTTTATATAAGACTGAAATTACTACTATTCTACTATATAATTTTTCTAGCTTTATAAGAAGCTTATTTCTTAATATTTCTTTTTTTCTTAGCTTTTTTTATTTATATTTTAATTAAAATATATTCTTAATAAACTACTATTTATATATTAATATTATTAATATTTTTAATTTACTTAGAAGTTATAATTAAAAATATTAGCTATATAATTTCTTTAAATATTTTATTTATTAGCAGTTAAAAATTAAATATAAGCTACTATTAATTTTAATATTTAATTTTTTTATTATATTAGTAATTAATTAAATAATAATAATAATAATAAAATATAAAATTTTAAAATAAATTAAATTAATAGTAATAATAATAATTACTAATTTTTAAAAAATTAAATAAAAAATTAGATTTTTTTTATAGCTATTAAATTTACTATTAATTATAATATATCTTATTAAAAATCTATTTTAAATAAAAATTAAATTTTTCTTATTATAAAAAAATTAAATTATATAAAATATCTAATATATTTATAATAACTAATTTAACTACTATTTCTTAATTTTATTTCTATTTCTTTAAAAGAATCTTTAGTAAAATAATATATAGATATATCTTATAAAGAAAGTTCTAATTATTAAGCTTATATAAGATATTATTAAGCTTACTACTTAGTATTATATAAGTTAATTTAAAAATATACTTAATAAGTACTTTACTAAAAATAGTAAAGCTAGTAATAACTTTATTACCTTAGCTATTATAAAAAAATATCAGCCTATAAATACTTAACTTAAAGTTATTATACCTAACCCACTTTAAAAAGTAGATTAATATACTTTAATTTATATCTATATACTTAAGACTTTACTAATTCTATCTTTACTTTAATAAAACTCTTTATATTTCTCCTAACTAAATTAATTATCTTATCTTAAATCTATATAACTAATTCTTAATATTATTACTATTACAGCCTAGATTAAAACTAGGCAGTTATAACTAGCAAAACTATAACATACCTACTTTTTCACCTAATATAAATTCCAAACTTACTTTATATAAATAAGCCCGGATAATTAACTTACTTCCCTAGAATAAGCTATAAAATTAAACTTATTCTTATCTAGTAAGCCTATATAAGTACTACTAGTATATAGATACTCTTTTAGCATTTTTATAAATAAATAGCCTTACTAGCTATTAACACACTTAATTATATTAAATCTATTATTTTATTATTACTAGACTATAACTTATATTACTTACTATAATATTTTAATTTACTTAATTATATACCCTATATCTTAGACCTACTTTATATTCTTAAATTAAACCTAATTATTATATATTAATAATTCTTATTTAGTATATTACTATATCAACCTAAATAATATCTTAAATAAGCTAAAATAACTCCTACAACCCTAAGTATCTTATCCGAATCTAAAGGAAATCCCATTACTTTAATAATATAGAGCTAAGACCCTACTAATAATATAAATATAGATAAATCTAACTCTAATAATAAAGTTACTAAGAAGAATTTTAATAGACTCTAAAAGTAAAATAATCGCCTTAAAGCTAAGCTTAATAAGCTCGCTGAAATTTCTATTAAAAAAAACCTAGAAAAGAATAATAAAATTAATAAGCTAATAAAATAAGTTACCTAGCTCTTAATATAAAATAACTGTCTTAGTGGAGACCTTATTTGTTAAGAGGCACTCTACTGTAATTATATTATCTATCTAGACTTTCTTATAGTAAATAGAAAAGATACAGAAGAAATTCTTAGATTTAAGCAACTCAATTTATTTAATAGAGTAGCTATTAGCCTTTAAGAATTTCTTATATAAATTAGAATATTTTAAAGCTACTACTCTATATAGTTTACTAAAGAAAAAGCTAAATCTACTATACTATAGAACTTCTTAAAGATAAAATACTCTAATAATTTAAACTAGTTATAAGAAATTACCTTAATAACTCTTATTATATATAGAAGAATAAAACTAAGCTATCTATACTAGCTATAAAGTATTTAAATAAAACTGCAAGATATTTAATCTTATTAATAAAAATAAGTAGCTAAAATATAATTTAGAAGCTTATTTAGAAAGTATTAGTATTAAGCTATATTGTAAATTCTATAATATATCTTATATTTAAATTAGAGAGAAGAGGTATATATAGCAGCCTACTAAAAAAACTTAAGTTAGAAGTTAAAGATATAATAGTTAGGTATAAGCCTATAATTTTAATATCTTATTACTCTTTCTATAGAAATTAATAACTAATAATTTAAAAGATAATAAGAAAAGAAGACTAAAAAGTTAGAAGAAATACCCTATATACTATTTAGAAAAATAAGAAGAATAATACTAATTAAAAAAAGAAATACTAGAGTAACACCTTCTATAAAATAGTACTAAACTTATAGAACTAAAAGCTATTAGAAGAATTACTTAAAGGTTAAATACTAGAACTGTAAAAAGATAGGCTACTTTAAAAGTAAGTATTACACCCTAAAATCAACTAAAAGTATAAGCTTATATTAAAAGGTAAGTATATATAATTTACTAACTATTAGTATTCTAATAATAATAAACCTTAAATTGCTATTTAATTTAAAATTCTTACTATAACTTAAAGTAGCTATAATAGAGAGTTTAGTAGAGTTTATAAAAATATAATTAGAAGGTTAATACCTTAATAATATTCTATTCTTAAGCTATATACCTGGAGAATATCTAAGAAATTAAGAATAATACTAAAAAAAGGCATAAAAATAAGCTATATAGTATAAGAAAATAAATAGCAAAACTAAAGTAGAATAATAAATTAAATTAAAAAAGAAAAGAAATATAGCTAAAATAAAAATAAAGATATCTAGAAATTATTCCTACTTAAATAATATTAATACTATAAATAACTTAACTAATAAAATATCTTATATTATAGCTATAATATAATAAGGGGATTTAATTTCTAATAGATAACCTAAACTTATTATACTACCCCAACTAATAAGAAATAAAAAGTAATAATATTTAAAGAATACTAAAAAAGAATAATTTCTAATAATATTTTTATACTAGAGATAAAGATATTCTATAGATATACCTAGGGAGAAGTATATCTAGCTAGAAACTAGAGCTCTAGTAGCTAACTAGATATTATTACTCCTATTAAAGAATACCTAAAATAGAGAATAAATAAGACTCTAAACTTAGCTATAAAGGATACTAAATATATAATAGCCTTAGAAGTTAAATATAAATAAAATTAATAGAAATATATAACAATCTTATAAATAAGTAATAAGAGCCTACTAAGAATAAATTATCTATATCTTATCTATAATATATAACTAGCTGAAATTATATTATATAATTCTAAAGAAATAAAAGATAATAACCTAAGAATAGCAGTAATATATTCCTAACTATAAAGAAATCTTATAGATATTATATATTATCTATATATACTAAATATATAAGAAAGATAAAATCTACTAGAATTATTACTCTATATAGATAAATAATATATTATTTAGAATTATACTTAAGGGAGAACTTAAGTATTTCTATATTACCTAATAGTATATAGAAGTTAGTATTATATTTAGAGGATAAAGAGATCTCTTTCTACTAGAATATACTAACTTAGCTAGTACTATTAATAACTAAAAACTAAAAAATACTTATATATAAATAAAAAAGATAAGAAAATAGCATAAGTATAAGAATAAAGATATTACTAAGTATATTACTATAAGAATACTATAATATAATAAACTAACTGTAAGAAATATAGCTGGAAAATTAAGATAAGTTCAATATATTAAGTTCTTAATATACTAAAATAAACTTCTCTAATTATAAAGGAATAAGCATCTTAATTAAGCCTAGAAGAGTAAAATAGAAGATTGGGAATAT